TTAGCCCCCTGCCACTCAGTCTGCTGCCGATCTGGGGTTCTGTCGGCCGGCTCCTGCCAGCCAGGGCCTCGCTCAGCCCGTTGCTGGTCTGGGATCCTGGCCCTGCCCACATAGAGTGGGTACCTATCTTCTTCCTGGCTCTAGCCCATTCTTTTCCGCTCTCTGCACTGAGCTGAGGATGGGAGTGCACTGAGCACAGGGCTGGGGGTGAAGGAGTAGGCTGGGGGTTTGGGTGTAAGGTCTGGCCAGGAGCTAGAATGAGGGAGGGAGCTCAGGGTTGTGGCAGGAGGTTTGGGTGTGGAGTGCTTACCTGGGCAGCTCCCGTTTGGTGCCAGGGGTGCAGGTGGAAATGTGTGTGGGAGATGCAGGAGCTCTCGTTTGGTGCTCAGGGTGGGAGTGGGAATGAGGGGGGTGCAGGAGTCAGGGGGCTGGGTATGTGTGGGAGGTGCAGGAGTCAGGGCAGGGGGCTGGGTATGTGTGAGAGGGGTGCAGGGGTCAGGGCAGAGGGCTGGGGGTGTGGGCTAGGGTTGTGGGGGTGGTCCCAGCCCCCTGCCCAGAGTGGCTCACGGCAGGGGGCTGGAGGGGATATGCCCTGATTCCACCCCCGCAGTCCCCAAGGCCCTGTCCCCACCTCTTCTGCGGCTCCGCTTCTCCCCTCCTCACAAGGGCCATCAGCTAATCTGGGGCAGGGAGGGAGAGGAGGAGGGGCAGGAACCCAGCATGCTGGGAGAAGAGGCGGGGGAGGGAGGACCTTGCCTGCCCTGCAGCAGCAGCCGGCAGGGCCAAGCTTCTTCACCCTGACCCTGCGGGAGGGGGGCGGAGAAGAGTGGGCTGGGGCGGGCAGGATTTTTAATGGCACACTGCTGCCTGCCGGGGTCCCGGCCGCTGGCCCCGCTCAGCCTGCTGCCAGCCTGGGTTAGGCAGCAGGCTGAGTGGGGCCGCCGCCTGGGACCTGGCAGGCAGCAGCATGCCATTAAAAATCGGCTCACGTGCCATCTTTGGCACGCGTGCCATAGGTTGCTGACCCCTGCCTTAGGGTCTTAAGTTGGTTACCCAAAAAATAAACACACAATTAGTAACCATCTATGAAAAGTTTGGTTTAAGTGATTGCCTAGCAACATGGACGGTTTCAGAGTAGCAGCCGTGTTAGTCTGTATTCGCAAAAAGAAAAGGAGTACTAGTGACACCTTAGAGACTAACCAATTTATCTGAGCATAAGCTTTCGTGAGCTACATGCATCTGATGAAGTGAGTTGTAGCTCACGAAAGCTCATGCTCAAATAAATTGGTTAGTCTCTAAGGTGCCACAAGTACTCCTTTTCTTATAGCAACATGGAGGAACTTAGTGGCAAAAGGGAGGGATAGAAGCCAATTCTGTGCACAGCATTCAACTACTTTAGCCGTATGATCATCCTTTGTCTTTTAGTCCCATGCTTCATTCCCTATGTCTTCTAGCTGTTGCAAGAAACAAAACAGACAACAGCCAGCTGTGAAGTTGAGAACTTTGCAAAGTTAATAATGTTCTTTTAATGTAATTGTTGTGTACTTTCCTAAGATATTAAAAAAGCAAACCTGAGGGGGGACAGATGCCTTCTTGCGGCATCATACTGATATCCACATTGTTAATTAGCCTCTTTGTGGACCTGCACTAGAGAGGAATGGGACACTTTGACTGTAGTTTTTACAGATGTTTGCTGACAGCAGAGGTGTGGTAAAGACTTGGAAATCTTGAGTTCTATGCCAAACTCTGGAAGGGAGCGTGCACTAGTACACATTTTTCTGTCCATTTCCCCTAAGCTTGACCACCTCTGCCCCATCCTAGTCCTATCTCTTTCACACTACTGGCTTCTTGTCCTGTCTCAGCTCCTTAGCCTTCTGTTCCCAGTTCCAGTCTCCTTGCTTAAAAGTCCTAGGTTCACCTCTCCATATTCCCTGTCTCATTCTTCTTCTCCAGCCATTCCCAGTTCACTCCTCTGCTTCCTAATGTTTCTTGCCTGCCCGCAGCCCTTGTCCCCACTAGCTTCCAGTCTCCCTTTCCAGGCTTCTCGTCTTATCTGTGTTCTTGCATGCCCCAGCTCCTTGTCCCAGTCTCTTTACCCAGCCAGTCGTAGTTCACTCCCTGCACCCTGGCTCATTGTCAGGTCTGTATCCCCTTTTCTCTTCCTCATCCTCTGCATCTATTCTCAGTTCTCTCCACCCACCAGCTCCCTGTGTTGCATCACCTTCCTTCCCTGGCTCCCAGACCTAGTTTACTGTCAGCTCCTTGTCTAACCTACTCCTGCCCTGCAACCCCATACGCTTGAATCAAATGGCTTTCTCCTCCACACTGCCTGGGTGGGAGCGGTCATAGAGAGCATAGGAGAAACAGACTCTGCTGTCAGCTCTGGTGCCCAGCCAAGAGCAGCTATTGAGTAAAAATCGCTGGGCTGGAGGGAGCACAATCAGTCAGTCTGTGGGCATGCCGTCTATGCAGTTTTGTCATTTGCTGGAGCTATGAGGGAATGGAGTATGCTTAGTGGGTTTGGTGTATGTGCCATCCCGTCATGTGTAGATACTCTTGTGGGGATGGTGCATGCTCATGGAGGATGCAGTCTTCAGAAATCTTAGCTGTTAAATTCTAGCAAATGTCCATTGAGCATGTGTGAACTGCAGTTTTTTTCAAAGGCTTCCAACTTGATGAAATTTGGCTGGATTTTCATGGCAAAAGGTGCATCCCTAATACATCGGTCACCCCCTTCCTAATTTCAAGTCCCTATTCCAAAGCATGGTGAGAGAACTTTCCAAAGAAAAGATCCAAAGACATTTTTTTAACATGGGAGAAAAATTTGTTTTCATTAGCATTGTTCTCAGAAATGCTTGAATTATTTTGACTGAAGTGTTGAAAAGAAAAAAAAAACAGCCTGAGGTAGATACATGAAGTGGAAAACTTCAGCCTAAAGAGTTAAAGTTTGTAAAGTTTAAAAGCAATTGAAAACAGGATCTTATTGTGGGGAGTGTTAAGCAAATATAGTAATAGATGGTGCTACCAGCTCTGTGTAGAATATCCCCTTCCTTAGCCTTGCGTGCTCTTCCTCCCCTCCCCCCGTGCAAATGTAGATTGGTGCAGGTGTTTCTCCATGTGGTTGACCCTTGCTTTGAGAGAGGTTAGTTATTGGGTAACTTCTGCAGTGGTTCTCAACCATGGATATGTGTACCCCTGGGGATATGCAGAGGTCTTTCAGGAAAGGGGTTCTCAACCTTTTTCTTTCTGAGGCCTCCCCAGAATGCTATAAAAACTCCTTGGTCCACCTGTGCCTATAAAAGCCAGGGCTGTCATTAGGGGTTAGCAAGTAGGGCAATTGCCTGGGGCCCCAAGAAGCTAAGTTACTCAGGCTTTGGCTTCAGCCCCAGGTGGCGGGGCTTGGGGCCCCGGGCTTCAGCTTTCTGCCCTGGGCCCCAGTGAGTCTAATGCCTGCCTTGCTTAAAATCCTACTCGCAGCCCTGCAGGGGGCCCCAGACCTCTGTCTGAGAACTGCTGTTCTAGGGGGTACATCAACTCATCTAGATATTTGCCTGGTTTTACAACAGGCTACATAAATAGCACTAGCAACGTCAGTACAAACTAAAATTTCATACAGACAGTGACTTGTTTATACTGCTCTGTATACTACTATACGCTGAAATGTCAGTACAATATTTCTATTCCAGTTGATTTATTTTCTAATTACATGGTACAAACGAGACAGTAAGCACTCTTTCCGTAATAGTGTGCTGTGACACCTTTGTATTTTGTCTAATTTTGTAAGCAAGTAGTTTTTAAGGGAGGTGAAACTTGGGGTATGCAAGACAAATCCTATTCCTGAAAGGAGTACAGTAGTTTTGAAAGGTTCAGAGCCATTGTTCTAAAGCAGCAATGTCCAATGACTTTCTGTAGGGTTTTTGGCTTCCAAATCAATAAAGCATTTTTGAAAATTTTACTGGCAAATGATTGACGACAGCAGATTTTGTGGGAGGTAAAGCCATCCTGTGTGACTCTTCTGGAGGGAGTTTTGCCTCTTGTCAAATTGAAGGAACTGGCTGGAATATCTGGAGAGCATTGCTTATATTGTGAGTAGAGGGGATATGCAACAATTAGAAGGAATTTCGGCTTTGCACTCTGTGCTGTTGTTGCTGTTGCCAAGAATGAAAAAAATAAGTATGTGGATCCTATCAGTCTTGCATTAACATTTTAAGATTTAGGTGTAAGAATCTTTCATTGTGTTTTCAAAGAAGCGTTACTTCAGGTAAGTAAGTTTACCAAACTTTGTGTAGCTTCTAAGAGCCTGGGAATGGGCTTGGGCTGCAGATTTCTTTCCACAGAGCTTGAAAAAGCCAGTGAAGCATTGGGGAGGTGAAGAGGTGGTGGGAGAGACCACAATGTGATGTTATACAGAAACAAAGTTTTTTTGTTTAAAAATGAGTTCAGCCCTTGTGGCTGTGAAAACAGATGCACTGCTCTCCTCCAGAAACTGCAGATAGAACTCCTGCAACTCAGCTGCTGCTCAGAGCTCTGCCAAGTAGCTGCTAAATTAAATTAATAAGAACCTGGTTGCTTTTGTTACTCTGAACCTTGGGCTTGTATTTATTAGCTAACTATAAAAGTATTTTAACATGACCGTGAGTAGTTTAGTTAACCTGAGGGTTAAATATGAGTTAGTTTAGACAGTGATTTTTATGTGTAACATTTTGTCAGCAGATCATGGGTAAAAGCTCCTGGAACCATTGATGCTAGCTTAAGTGATAAACATGCAGGTCACTGCCCATGCTGTTCTAACCCCCCAAGTAGCAGCAAAATGTCACAATTCTCCCTCTTCCCAGCAGTGGATGTTATGGCAACTGAGCTTTTCATGACGATGTTGCCCCTGAAATATTTTACAATCTTTTCTTCCCACCCTCTTAATTTTCTTTGAGGTCTACTAGGTTTTGTTCGCTGGTCATCCTTTGAGATCCTCAGAGGTAGGGAGTTGAAGAAGGGGAAGTGTATAGTAGTCAGGTTGAAATTTGCAGATTGTTTGTGTTGGGAGTAGAGCAGAGCAAGGATGTAGCTTCTTGTTTTTTACTGACTGGTGCCAGTTACAGAGAATCTGTCCCTTGGCAGCCTAGTGTGGTTTTGCTGTTCCTGTACTAGCAGACAGCTGCCTCAAATGGGATTGGAATGGGATTTGCATTTCCATAGGGTCTCAGTCTGATTTGCATTCTCAAAAGGCAGCAACAGACCTGAAAGAAGTGCGGAGAATAGTCTGATATGCCCAGCTTCAGCTATGGGCAGAAACTTTGTTCGTATAAATTAAAGTTGTACATTGAGGATAAAATCTGAATAGTTTAATGGACTCGTAAAGGTGAGTTAGAAATGTTTTCTCAGAGATTTCTAAAAAAACAGACTTTTTGATTAAAGCAGGGTAAGAATGTATTTCTGGGGTAATTTCAAATTGACTTTGTATTGTCTTTGTTTCCTTTATAAATCCACACTACAAGTTGTTAGTCATAGTTCATTTACTAACATTGAACAAGGAAGTAGGAAAAATGATCCTGTGCATGAGTATAAATCTGGTCTGCTATTATTGGCACAATATCAAGGCTGTTTAATATCACTAGAGACCACCTATATTCCTAGTTAGTCCTAGTAGCCTCCTTTTATGAGCCATAAAGAATCTAGAGTTTTAACTACCAGAGTGATACGATCTTAAAAATCTTACATTTTAGAGTTCTTCTTGTCTGTGGCCAGATGTAGAGGTTATAAATGCCAAATTTGGTGACAAACACACGTTAAGATGATATGCTGATCATAAAGGAAAAGATAAGGAGTCCTAGATTCTGTTTCCAAATCTGCTCAAACTCGCTGTGGTGATCTAATTTCTCTACCTCAATTTTTGTGCTGTAAAATGGTATTTATTTCAGAGGGGGATCTGTGGCTTAAGTAGGTACTTGTATGAAGAAAATAATGCAAGAAGAAGGGGATGTAATAAAATGGAAAGGCAGCTAATTTCAACCTAATACAAGGAAACCATTTTTTAATACAAAACTTGTAGAACTTGCTGCCACCAGATTGAGACCAGCGTCTTGGTAGAATGCAAAAGAAGAACAATGTGTTTATCAACAGCAATGCCATCAGTTAAATTAGGTGTTTAAAAATAATTGTTTAGAGCAGTGGTTCTGAACCAGGGGTATATGTACCCCGGAGTATGCAGAAGTCCTCTAGGGGGTAAATTAACTCATATAGATATTTGTCTAGTTTTATAAAAAGCACTAGTGAAGTCAGTACAAACTAAAATTTCATACAATGACTGACTTATTCTGCTCTACATACGATAACACTGAAATGTAAATACAATATTTTTATACCGTTGAATTATTTTATAATTGTATGGTAAAAATGAGACAGTAAGCAATTTTTCCATAATAATGTGCTGTGACACTTGTGTTTTTATGTCTGATTTTTGTAAGCAAGTAGTTTTTTAAATGAGTTGATGGTATGCAAGACAAAACGGACTCCTGAAAGGGATACAGTAGTCTAGAAAGGTTGAGAGGCACTGGTTTAGAGGAACAAAAATCTCAGCCGAGTCTGGTTCATGGTCTGAGTACTGACATAGGGGTTAGGAAGAAACTTGGGTTATGGATAGGTTATTCCATAACAGTGAACTAAAATTTTTTCACACTGCCTATACAAAGCATTTGGTACCGACCACTCTAAAGGACAGGATACTGGACTAGATGAACCCAGTGATCTGTGTTTGCAATTGCTGTATTTCCAGGTGTTTGTGGAAAGGGCCTGACAATGGCTGGTGTGTACTTCAGGAAGGTGGTGAGGGTTTGCTTGGGAGATAGATTTTGATATGGTTGGGTTTTTTTGGTGTAGTGGTGAGGAGCAGCTGTAAGTCTCAGTTAGAATTTTAATGTTTTATTACAAAAGGGACTGAAGGCCAGGATACTTGTTTTTTATGATACAAGATGTATAAAAACAAATGGCTTTTCATTTGTAAACTTGAGTCAACTGTTAGTAGTTAATTCTTGTTATGTCAACTTGTGATGCTCTTCCAAATGATTATGCTGTACTTAACCTGTTAACCATTTAGCCATATGTTTCTCTTATCAGGCTAGCCTATGTTTTCAAAAGCAATTAAGAATAAGCCTCAGACTCAGTAGATAAGCAGACTAAATACATTAACCCTTTTAGAAATAATTCCAATTTGTTCTCATTCACTGTACTCCAACTGTTCATATCACTCCACCGTATAACTCAGTAGCTGATAACACATATGCACGTAAATAACTTCAACAGAAACAGTGGGACTATTTGCATGCATGTATTGGCAGAATTAGGGTTTAGGATTAAGTTTTTGTCTCAGATTGTTAGTTTAATGTTCAAGACTGACAAGTCTGTAGTTTTAAGTGGAATCATGCAACAGTATAAAGAATTGACAGTCTTGAATAACCACGCTGAAACATTTAGTTACAAAATTAACTGTGCCCAAAAGGCATTAATTTGGACAGTTTCTTCAAGAATGAAACGTTAGTGGTGGTCTCTCTATTATAAACATACTGGGCTAGATCCAACAACAAATATATGAGAGCTGAAGTATATATAGTCTGAACTATTTTATGTTACATCTCCTGTATGTTGAACTTAAGTTTTGACTCTCCCATGATGTACTAAAATTCATAATCAGATCTCAGCTTGGAATTTCCCAAGCTTTTCTAGTTCTATACCTGGAGAACACAATGTTTTCTTTTGGTAGTAGAGAGGTATGAATAAGAACCTCCATAGGGTAAATAAATGCCATATGATTTGAATAAATATGAATAGAATGCCAAAATAGTAAATAAGCTAAAAATGAGTGTGTGGAAGAGCAAAGGTATACTGAAATATCTGCGACACATATCTTCATATGTAGTTGTACTCTGTCTCTTGGGGGGACTCCAGATTGCTGTGAAGGAACCAACCGCTAGATCTTATGTGCTTTAAGCTTCTAGGGTCTGAACAGAGTCCAGGCACAGACATTATTTTGGAGTCCCTGGCCATACTTTCAGGACGCAGGTCTTCTGTCTAGCACCCATTTTTGATAGTTAAGACCCCAAGATCTAACTGCCTAGTCCCTGGTAGTAGTGCTGACCCTCCCCTCCCTGATATCTTAAACACACACTTTCAGAACTCTAGGCATGTGGGCATTCTGAGTCCACAAATAAACTCTTCGAGGACAAGTGATAGGTGTAACACAACTTATACACAGACTTCGCACAGGATTCCTAGCCATTTTTGGCCTTTATTTAAGGGCACGAGAACTATGGCAGTCTATACAAAAATAAACTCTACACGCATTTCCCTACCTCAGTTTCCTCCTCATTCTAAGCTTTCTTTGGGCTAGGGTCAGTTTTCTAACGTTGTCCAGAGTCTTTCTGCAGTACATTACTTGTCTTCCTAACCGTGGAGCCTCTCCTCTGCTTCCTCCTCAGCTAGCTTGCTTTGACCTTTATTGATTCTGAAGCTAAATTCAGTCCCCTGTTTTTAATAATTAAAAAAAAAAAAAAAAACAACCAGAAAAAACAAGCCAAATCTCTTCTTTCCCAGAACTCCCTATGGTTCTGAGTCTTCTCCGGCAATGTTTCCAGCAGGGATGGGTTCCTGGGCCTATGTTATTGAACATTTGTATCAATGATCTGGAAGAAAAAAATAATCACAGATAGATAGTTTCCAGGTGACACAGAAATTAGGGGTGTGGTAAATTGTGCTGTATCGGAGACCAGTCTCCTTTGCTGTTAGGATCTCTTGGTAAGCTTGGTGCAAGCCAACAATATGCTAAATGCTTAATATAGCTAAATAAAAATGTTCACGTCCAAGAATAAAGACGATAAGCCATAATCACAGAATGGGGGGACTATCCTGGGAAGCTGTGACTGCAAAAGATTTGCAGGTTATGATCAGCTGAATGTGAGCTCCCAGTACAATGCTGTGGCAAAAAGGGCTAATGTGATCCTTGAATGTATAAAGAGGGGAATCGCAAATTAGGAGTGGGGAGATGATTTTACCTTTGTATTTGGCACTGGTGATACCACTGCTAGAATAAAGTATCCAATTCTGGCATCCACAGTTCAAGGAGGATGTTGATAAATTGGACAGGGAGAAGAGCCATGCGAATAATGAACTAATTGGAAAACATGCCTTTAAATATAGTGACACTCAGAGAACTCAATCTATTTAGCTTAACAAAGAGAAAGTTAAAGGGGTGACTTGATCAATCTGTAAATACCTAGGTGGGGGGCTGGTATTTATAATGACCTCCCTAGTCTAGCAGACAAGGTATAGAAGAGGAAGCTTGAGAAATTCAAACTGGAAATAGGCATAAAATTTTAAGTAATCAACAGTAGGAGCAACTTACCCAAGGTTCTGGTGTACTCTCCATCTCTGGTAATTTTTTAAAATAAAGATTGGACCTTTTTCTAAAAGATTCTCTGTTACAAACAGGAATTATTTCAGGGAAGTTCTCGGGCCTGTGTTATAACAGAGATTATACTAGATGGTCACGGTGGTTGGTCCCTTCTAATCTTGGAACCTAGTGGTTTTATTTATTTATTCTCCCCCCCCACCCCCCTAAAGGCTAGCATCAGCACCTTGGGGTCTTTGTTCTGCATTTGAATATCGTCTCAACTCCAGACACCAGCACCATATTGAGGGGTTGGGGAAAACTTGTTCTCCCAATTTCTCTAGTAATATCTTCAATCCCTGTGTGTGTCTAATTCAGAAGTTGCTTGATTCTCTGGTGTATGGAAAGTGGAAGAGGGCCAAGACTATAACAGGGTTCAAAAAAGAACTAATTAATTCATGGAGGATAGGGCCATCAGTGGTTATTAGACACGATGGGCAGGGATGGTGTCCCTAGCCTCTGTTTGCCAGAAGCTAGGAATGGGTGATAGGATGGATCACTTGATGATTACCTGTTCTGCTTATTCCCTCTGGGGACCTGGCATTGGCCACTGTCAGAAGACAGGATACTGGGCTAAATGGACTTTTGGTCTGCCTCTCTCTAGAAAACTTCTGCCTATAGCATCTGATCTGCTAAATGCAGAAATTTTTGGTTGAAGTTCTATGGCCTGTATTAGGCAGGTCAGGTGACATTATCATAATGGTCCCTTCTGGCCTTAAAATATGATTGTGGGATTTAATATTCCAGTATCATCTAAAGTTAGAACAGTTCGATCGCAGGCTGAGTTTATGTGACTGAGTTAATATTAATTTATAGAAATTGTAATTGAGAGATAATTATGGAACCTTATTGTGCCATTTTAGTTAGCTTTCAGAGGTGAAACACTTTTAACATAAAATGCCCTGAAACTAGTAGTTAATCTGGCAGCAGTGCCATCCTCAATACTGTTTCTTGCCCTTTCTGTTATGACTTTGGTTTCCACACTAAATGGGTGGTATGCACAGTAGGCAACATTGTAGGTAGACTAAATGTGAAATTCAGCATGATATACAGTATCTCATTAACAGCATTTCTTGGCTCTTAGTTTGTATGCCTTTCTCTTCTATCTTACAAAACAAAGCCACTGAATAATAGACATAAGCATTAACCCAGATACTCCTCTCTGGCCTTCACAGACAGTATTTGCTTTGAGTTATGAGGTGTTCAAACCAATCTACTTGTGAAAAAAATTAAATGAACTCAAAGATTGAGTTTCTTTAGTTGGTCTTAAACAAATTACAGTATGGATGTATCAAACAGAATATTAGAAATGGTTCACACTTCAATGCTTAACTAATAACTATAATATTCAAAATGTAAACTTGCCACTTGACTGTTTGTCATTAACGTCAGAAAAATTAAATGTAATACAAGCATGACAAAATTTGATGCTAGAAAACTGATTTAAGGACTCACGGAATAGAAACTGAATATATTTAGAGTAATTTTTTTTAGTTAGAAATTTTTTGCTGTAGCTAAGTCAATCAAACTTCTTATGTAGATAAAAGTTCAACACCCCGAAAGGTTAGGAGGGTTGGGTTTCTACCATACCTGTACAAGATGAAACATGGGTATAACTAGGGCTGTCAAACAATTATAAAAATAATTATGATTAATCATGAGATTAAAATAATTGCAAGATTAAAAATAGAATATCATTTATGTACATATTTTTGGATGCTTTTAAAATATATTCATTTCAGTGACAACACAGAATACAAAGTGCACAGTGCTCGCTTTATTATGTAAATATGTGCACTGTAAAAAAATAGTATTTTTCAATTCACCTCATACGAGTACTGTAGTGGAATCTCTTTATTGTGAAAGTACAATTTACAAATAGAATTTTTTTTTACATAACTGCACTCAAAAACAAAACAAAAGTAAAACTTTAGAGCCTACAAGTCTCTTTATCCTGGTTTTTACTTTCTTAAATGAGCAGTGTCAGTTCTTAATTTTATTTTTCAAAAATCCACTACACCAAGACCATACATCATACTGGAATGTTGAAAAGGAATTTTAGAGAGAAACTAGGTTTTTACATTGAGCTTTGTTTTTATGTTGACTCTAAATTTGTTTGCTCATCTTGTATGTGCAGACTTCCAAAAGAAGCTGGAGGGCGAAAAGAAAATGGAGACAGAGGCAGTTTCTAATCTTCGTCGCCAACTGAAGGAAGCAGAAGATGAGCGGAGAAAGGCAGCACAATATGGCTTGCATATACTGGAGCAACAAAATGAGATGCAGAATCAGTTAGATCAGCTACGGAGTGAATTGAGCACCAAAACTGAGGTGAACTTTTATGTTAGATTTGACAGAATATTTTTATTTTTTGTAACTTCAATATCATTTTTAACTTTTGTGATTTTTAAAGTACTTTAATTTTTACAGTTCTGGGAAATTAAGCAGGGGATGGTTAGGGCAGCTCTGAAAGCGGGATGAGGCTCCCAGTATGGCAGACCCTTGGCACAAGGTGTTTTGGGATGGACACTGCGGCCCTGGCCTGGCAGAGCAGAGACCTATGGCCAGGGTTGTGAGGAGGAGGACAAGACCCTGGATGTGTGGGGAGGCCACCTTGCTGCTGAACACTTTGTGCCTGGGGTCAGTGCTGCACTTCTGGCTGGTGAGTGAGTCAGCGAGCTGGGCTGCGGACAACTCCCTCTGCGGCTGCTGAGCTAATGGCACTGAATCCCTGCAGGCACAAGGTGTGGGGAAGGCTGCAGTCCTGGTAGAGAGGAGCAGAGGACCCCGGCTCTCCCAGCTGGTGAGAGAGTTGGGCTGTGACAGCAGGGCTGCAAAGGGCTCCTTGCACTGCTGGTGACACCTAATCTCTGCAGGTGCAGAGAAGGCTTTAGACTGTGGGCAAGAGGATGATCCCCCCCCCCCCCCCCCGGGCCACAGGGGAGGTAACCTTGCTATCCACTGGCAGGCACCACGTAGCAGTGGGGTCGACTCCCCAGACGCCAAGGGCTGCTGTTTTTTCTTGTGGCCCTGGCTGGGGTCTGGCAGGGCAGAGCAGGACTGCAGTGTTTCCTGCACCTTGTGCCTGCAAGAAACCAGCATCAACAACACTGGAGCTGTGTAGGGAGCCCTTTGTTCCCTCACTCATGTGACAGCAGGGATGCAGAGAGTTCTCTGCTGGCACAGGGCAGGTGACTCATGATCACTGTAGGTGGAAGGGGGGGGGGAGAGGCTGTGCTTGTACCAGCTGTTACAGATGGATAATTTTGTGTTGATTTTTAGTCAGTTGAAATTGACCTTTTCCGATATCTCTAGATTTCAATCAAATTGTGCCAACCCTAATTATACTCCTCTATTCTAGAGAGGTGTTTTTGCCATTCTGTCTGTCTCATTAGATTCCATTGGTTTAGGCTTTTATACTATCCTCTCCTTGGAAAAGCGTCTTTTTCCAAATTTCCAGCTGAATGAAAGCATAAAATGTAGGAAACCCAAGCTCTTCTTGATAGTTAGCTAGCACACTATTTTGGAAGTCTTGTAATAAACCACTGAGATGATTCTTTGAACTGGAAGCTGGAATGATAAATGGGACTTGCATCTATGTTGTCATATGTCTGCCTGACATTCAGATCAAGTTTAACAGTGAATAAACATTTGAATAATTCTTTTCCTTCTTAATAGCCAAAACATGTCATGTAAGCTAACATTTTAAAATGATTGTTAAATGCTAATAACACACTGAAGTATTTCATGTTGTATTCATGTTCCTCATGTCAGTTGGACACTGATGGTGATGTCACAAGATGGTTCATGACTGACATGCCCAAACACGAACACACTGGGGACCACGCGGTGGGGGACTCTCTGCAGTCTGCCTGGAGAATTAGAGGAATATAGGAACTACTAAATAAATTACAGAAATTCTGGATGGATGGCTCTTTCCTGTAAGACAGATATGAAAATCTTCATGAAGCAATTGATGACTTTTGAAAAAGACAGATCAGCTGGAGTTAGAAGTCCTAGTAATTAGTTGGTCTTGGATCTCGAGTCTAAATGCATTAAAATAAACCAATGCCTGAGGAGCCAGTTAAAAAGAAACAAAGACTTATCAATATCACATTTCTTTTTCAGAAATTTGAACAAGACAAGTATTCACTTCAGAGAGAAGTTGAGCTCAAGAATAGAATGTTGGAAAGCTTGAGCTTTGAATGTGATGCTCTTAAGCAGCAACAAAATATGCAACTGGACAAACAGCGAGAACAATTTGAAAGAATCCATGGACAAGAAATCAGACAACTTAAAAACAAGGTTTGGGATGTACTGAACTGCTAAAATGTTGCTGACATATTAAGGAATATTTGCAAGAATACTTAACTTATTTCTTGAAGTAATAACTGCAACTATCACCCCAACAAATCAAATGAATGGTTCAGACATACAGCTATTTTTTTCCCCTTCTACTTGGTACCTACATTGAAAATTCCAGAATTCAGTTAGCCATCAATCCTTCTGATCATTTACTTATTTTTAATCAAACGTTCCAGCACAGTAGCACTTAGTAACTAATAAAATAGTATTGGAGACAAAAGGCTGCTTATGGTAGAATTTCAGAGGGAGGAAAATATCAGCAATATTTAAATGAATATTGCTGATTCTATACAAGATAATTATGTTTGTTCTGCAATTTACTCAAGCCAGCAATTCGTTGGCAATGTGGAATTTAGGTAGAACGTAAGGAAGAGTGTCGTCACAAAACAATGTGGTTGGCTTCATGGTAGCCTGTTACAAAAGCAGTATGTTCTGCCCTAGCAGAGAGTGCAGCGTGTCGATTCAGCAAACCTCAGTGTTTCTCATAAAGACCATGTGCTTAGTTCGGTGGTGAGGGCCAGGTTTATTGTTGACAAAGTGCAGTCCTAGTGCCCTGGCTTAATGGTTATAGGTACACTAAGATGTATGCCTGAGGCAGCATGGCAGCTTAATCAACATAATGTAATACTGTCCCCTAGGCCTGTACAAGATGTCCTTCCTATGCCTTCTCTCTTGATACATTGATACAAATAAGTTAGGTATTACACTCCAGATGTTGTTAGTTACCACCTTTATTCTTGTACCTGGTAGTTGGAACAAAATATCCTTCTCCAATATTCTGTCATTCCCTTTACCTTTACAAGAGGTCAGTGCGTTCCTGTACCGTTTCTTAGTAATGTGTTTATGTAGTTTCATAGATTCATAGATTCATAGATATTTAGGCCAGAAGGGACCATTATGATCATCTAGTCTGACCTCCTGCACAATGCAGGCCACACAGAATTTCACCCACCACTCCTAAAAAAGACCTCACACCTATATCTGTGCTATTGAAGTCCTCAAATTGTAGTTTGAAGACCTCAAGGAGCAGACAATCCTCCAGCAAGTGACCCGTGCCCCATGCTACAGAGGAAGGCGAAAAACCTCCAGGGCCTTCCAATCTACCCTGGAGGAAAATTCCTTCCCGACCCCAAATATGGCGATCAGCTAAACCCTGAGCATATGGGCAAGATTCATCAGCCAGATACTACAGAAAATTCTTTCCCGGGTAACTTGGATCTTACCCCATCTAAAAACCCATCACAGGCCATTGGGCCTATTTACCATGAACATTTAATTACCAAAACCATGTTATCCCATCATACCATCTCCTCCATAAACTTATCGAGTTTAATCTTAAAGCAAGATAGATCTTTTGCCCCCACTACTTCCCTCGGAAGGCTATTCCAAAACTTCACTCCTCTGATGGTTAGAAACCTTCGTCTAATTTCCAATCTAAATTTCCTAGTGGCCAGTTTATATCCATTTGTTCTTGTGTCCACATTGGTACTGAGTTTAAATAATTCCTCTCCCTCTCTGATATTTACCCCTCTGATATATTTATAGAGAGCAATCATATCTCCCCTCAACCTTCTTTTAGTTAGGCTGAACAAGCCAAGCTCCCTGAGTCTCCTTTCATAAGACAAGTTTTCCATTCCTCGGATCATCCCAGTAGCCCTTCTCTGTACCTGTTCCAGTTTGAATTCATCCTTCTTAAACATGGGAGACCAGAACTGCACACAGTATTCCAGGTGAGGTCTCACCAGTGCCTTATATAACGGTACTAAAACCTCCTTATCCCTACTGGAAATACCTCTCCTGATGCATCCCAAGATGACATTAGCTTTTTTCACAGCCATATCACATTGGCAGCTCATAGTCATCCTATGATCAACCAATACTCCAAGGTCCTTTTCCTCCTCCGTTACTTCTAGTTGATGTGTCCCTAGCTTATAACTAAATTTCTTGTTATTAATCCCTAAATGCATGACCTTACACTTCTCACTATTAAATTTCATCCTATTCCTATTACTCCAGTTTACAAGGTCATCCAGATCCTCCTGTAGGGTATCCCTGTCCTTCTCTAAATTAGCAATACCTCCCAGCTTTGTATCATCTGCAAACTTTATTAGCACACTCCCACTTTTTGTGCCCAGGTCAGTAATAAAAAGATTAAATAAGATTGGTCCCAAAACTGATCCTTGAGGAACTCCACTGGTAACCTCCCTCCAACTTGACAGTTCACCTTTCAGTAGGACCCGTTGTAGTCTCCCCTTTAACCAATTCCCTATCCACCTTTCAATTTTCCTATTGATGCTCATCTTATCCAATTTAACTAATAATTCCCCATGTGGCACAGTATCAAACGCCTTACTAAAATCTAAGTAAATTAGATCCACTGCGTTTCCTTTATCTAAAAAATCTGTTACTCTCTCAAAGAAGGAGATCAGGTTGGTTTGGCACGATCTACCTTTTGTAAAACCATGTTGTATTTTGTCCCATTTACCATTGACTTCAATGTCCTTAACTACCTTCTCCTTCAAATTTTTTTCCAAGACCTTGCATACTACAGATGTCAAACTAACAGGCCTATAATTACTTGGATCACTTTTTTTCCCTTTCTTAAAAATAGGAACTATGTTAGCAATTCTCCAATCATACGGTACAACCCCTGAGTTTACAGATTCATTAAAAATTCTTGCTAATGGGCTTGCAATTTCTTGTGCCAATTCTTTTAATATTCTTGGATGAAGATTATCTGGGCCCCCCGATTTAGTCCCATTAAGCTGTTTGAGTTTCGCTTCTACCTCAGATATGGTGATGTCTACCTCCATATCCTCATTCCCATTTATCATGCTACCATTATCCCTAAGATCCTCTTTAGTCTTATTAAAGACTGAGGCAAAGTATTTGTTTAGATATTGGGCCATGCCTAGATTATCCTTGACCTCCACTCCATCCTCAGTTTTTAGCGGTCCCACTTCTTCTTTCTTTGTTTTCTTCCTATTTATATGACTATAGAACCTTTTACTATTGGTTTTAATTCCCTTTGCAAGGTCCAACTCTACTTGACTTTTAGCCTGTCTCACTTTATCCCTACATATTCTGACCTCAATAAGGTAGCTTTCCTTACTGATCCCTCCCTTCTTCCACTCCCTATATGCTTTCTGCTTTTTCTTAATTACCTCTCTAAGATGCTTGCTCATCCAGCTTGGTCTACAACTCCTGCCTATGAATTTTTTCCCCTTTCTTGGGATGCAGGCTTCCGATAGCTTCTGCAGCTTTAATTTAAAATAATCCCAGGCCTCCTCTACCTTTAAACCCATAAATTCTTCAGTCCAATCCACTTCCCTAACTAATTTCCTTAATTTTTGAAAGTCAGCCCTTTTGAAATCAAAAACCCTAGTTGCAGATTTATTTTTGTTAATCCTTCCATTCAGTTTGAACTGAATTAGCTCATGATCACTTGAGCCAAGATTATCCCCTACAACCATTTCCTCTATGAGGTCCTCATTACTCACCAAGACCAAATCTAAAATGGCATCCCCTCTAGTCGGTTCAGCAACTACTTGCTGAAGGAATCCATCAGCTATCGCATCTAGGAAAATCTGAGCCCTATTATTATTACTAGCACTCGTCCTCCAGTCTATATCTGGGAAGTTAAAGTCTCCCATAATCACACAGTTTCCATTAGTATTTACTTTATTAAAAACATTAAAAAGGGCTCTATCCATATCCAAATTAGATCCCGGTGGTCTATAGCACACCCCAAGCACTATCCCAGGGGAGGCTCTAATAGTTTTCTTCCCCAATTTAATTGTTGCCCAGACAGACTCAGTCATATCCATTTCATCGCTTCTTATTTCTTTACATTCTATCTCATCATTGATATACAGTGCTACTCCACCACCTTTACCTTTATTTCGGTCTTTCCTAAACAGCACATACCCTTCAATAGCTGTAGCCCAGTCATGACTATTATTCCACCAGGTCTCTGTTATACCTATAATATCTGGTTTCACTTCCTGCACCAGTAACTCTAGTTCCTCCATTTTATTACCTAGGCTCCTTGCATTAGTGTACAAACATCTTAATTTTTGCTGTTTGGCCTCACTCACATTCTGTACCCTATTAGGCACGGTTATTTTACTACCAGTATAACCTATTAGACTTGTATCTACACTGCCCTTCCTCCTACCTACAGCTGTATCCACTCTTACTTCATTTTCTTTCCACTCTATGCTAAATTCTGGCGTGGAGATTACCTGGACATCTCCCAACCATCTCCCCCAAATTCCTAGTTTAAAGCTCTCTTAATCAGTTGTGCCAGCCTCCATCCTAGAAGTCTAGTTACTTGAGAATGCTGTGTATCTCTGTACCATTCTCTTAGGTCAGGAATGTGCTTACTTGGCTAGCTGATACCCAGTATTACTATTTTAGTAAGGCCTACCCTAATTCACAGCCTTCGGTTCATTCTGTTAATTGTGCCTGGGGCTCCGGCAATATTTACAATATCAGTTGCTTCACTAATGTGTTTTTAAGTTGGAGAAGCTGAAAGCAGACCTAGATGAAACCCGACTAAGTGAGAAACAACTAAAGCACAAAGTGGAACATCAAAAGGCAGTCATTAATGCCAAATCAGAAGAATTGCACATGATGTCTGAACGTGTACATGAAACGATGTCTTCAGAAGTGTTAAATCTCCAGATTGAACTAACTGAACTTGAAAGTGTGAAGGTATGTGACTAATACTTTATCAGTGTAAGTTCATGGTCTGAACATTCTATTTGAAGACAAATGTCTACCTCTAGTCTCCTCCTGTACTAACACAGTTTTAGAAGGTTATGTACAGTATTCTGCATCTTGTGAATAAACTGGCATACTAATATGGTTCTTCCAAAAGCTAGTAATGATGGCTGGGGCAAAACTTTTTACGTTTGATGATTGGCACTGGAGGGTGAGAGCCGCCTTTTTTGAGTAGGCGACACTGGAAAAAGTTGGACTGATGCCAGAGTACCTAACTACTACGTAGAAAATACAAGTAAAATCATTTTGCTGCTACTTGTTTTTGGGACAGGCCAGTGTTGAAGAGAAGATGAATGAATTGCAATACAGCAAAGAGCAACTAGAACTTGCAAACAGCAACCTACACAACCAGTTGGAACACCTTCAGGGAGAAAAAGAAGAGAGAGAAAAAGAAATAGTTTCTTACTGCAATGCATTAGAGGTACTGTGCCTTTAGTTTTAAGTGCCATAATCTCAAATATCAAAATACTACTTTTCATACATAGCTGGTAATGAGAATCAAAATGTGAGGGGTTTATTCACAATTGCTAGATTGTTAATGATGCAGCACTTCCCACAAGTACCTTTTTTATTTATCTAGATTTAAAGACTTGAGTCTAAGGGATCTTCTGAGCAAAGCAGATATTTCTACGTATGATTGTTCTGTATAGTGTCAATCTAGGATACCAAATATTTTCAATGAAAATTAATGGCAGAGATGTCTACATCTCCTATATACCTTTTAAAAACTTCAATCATATATTGATACTGGCTTTTTCCATAGTTTATACAATCATCTGAGGGGTTATTGAGTAGTGTCCATAAACTTTTGAGACAACAGCTGCCGGGAGGTGGCTTTTCGCTTTGTCTTTGAGCTCCAAGAGTTTGAAATTGACTTCCTATCCAAGGACACATGAGTGGCATTTCCGTTGTATTCATTTGTGGGGCTTCTGGGAGGGTATGCTGATTCCTTCTTTCACTGAGGACCATGGCCCATTGAGATGACAAAGGTAGGGGCTGGGGAAAAACAGTTGAAAGATATAGTGCAAATTGTCAGTCCTTTTGGCCATTTGTTGTTCACTTGAGTGCAAAGTTTCATAGTTTTAGGTGACCAGCCACTCCTAGATCATCTTACAACGATGTCCTTGATGATGGTTTTTTATCACTTGCATCTTGCCAGAAAGATACCTACCACTTTGTTTTAGGATTTGGACCTTAAGACTGAAATCTGTGCCTTTATCATGAGGAGAAATCACTGTGCCCCTTCACCCTATTATCTACATTTTTATTTTCTCCCTACAATTACCAGGCCATATCAGTCACTTGATTTCTTTCTATATTGTCTCAGGATGTCTGTGCACAAACTCACAGCAGTTCAAAGGTGGTGTTTTAAACTGATGAAACAGCCTGTGTGGACATTTGTTTGTTTTGAGTTGCTTATATGCAAGTTGCTTAGATTCCCAATACTTTAAACAGTTACAATGGCTAATCAGCTATTGTTTAAGAGCTGCTCAGAGATTTGACAGCGGACATTGTGCTGGTAACTTGCTGAGATTGGATCTGTACTAAAACATGCAGTCAGTGAGAATAGAGGGTGTAACTACAGTATTGTGACCAGCTGAATTTGGGGACTTTTTTCAAGAAATTTTCTGTCCTTAATTGTGTAAAGTAAGAATCTTTTTATCCTTTGTTCTGAATATCAAGCTACAGAGTAGAGCTATATCATCTTGTTCTAAATACCATAGATCTAGGTCAATAACTAAGTTATACAGTGCCTGCTGAGATACCCAATTCATTGGGAAGCATGCAACTATTGCTCAATATTTTGCTTGGAACAAAAAAGATGTTTCAGCTGTAGCAATTAGAAATTTTGAATGAGTGTACTTTGCAATAAATACTTAACAGCCTTCCCTTCCCAAAAGCTTCCCTCCCAGCCCATAGAGCTAGGACTTTGGCAGTGGCTCGCCATTGGCTGGGGATGCAGGGGCTTCAGTCCCTTATCTCCTGCATGGTCCCCTGGCACGGGCAGGTTTCCAGAGCTGCAGTCCTAAAGGAGGTGCTAAGATGTGCTCAGCAGCAGCCTCAGGCAGGTTTGTAAAGTTACAGGTAGAGAAGGCACATCCTAGTGCTTCCATTCCTAGCTGCAGCCTCACAAACCTTTCTGCAGCTGAGGCATGGGTGTATGGGTTACTTCCCCATTCTGTTTCCTGGAGGAAGGGAGTTAATTATTCAACCTGGCTTGGGGACCGCTCAAGTGAGGAGGGGTATTGGTGCAAACACCTTGATTGTGGGAGTAGCTTACTAGAGGTCTCCAGGAGCCTGAAAGGTTGCCTGCCTTCCTGTCTCCGGCTGGCTACTACACAAGTACTGTAGGAGTAATCTAGTACCACTTGGGGCTTCAGTCAGTCATGAGTCATTTTGAACATGGGAAGCTACTACTCACTTTTTCCCTCTGTAATCCCATGTAAGTATAGCTTAGTGGGGAGTGGAATCCCTGTGTGTTTCATATCTGGTCAGAGACAATCTGAAGTGCTCCTTGCACTTTAATATGGAGCTAACCTATGGAACAACAGGGGGGTGGAGAGACACCCCTTCCTGCCCTTCTGACTAAGCCCCATTCCCTGGAAGAGTGAAAATTCTTGGGCTGAAAGCCAGACAGGAACAGTTCCCACAACACTGCAGCCTGAAGAGGGGCTTCACATGATTATCATGCTTCTCTGCATGTTCCGATAGACTCACTGCCCTGCTTCATGTGGAAGCTTGATAGAGAGCACTGAAAGTTTGTTTCCTCTCACACAAGCATAAGATTTTTTCAGGTCAGAGACCACCTTGGTTGTATAGTCTCCAGCAGAATGGAGCCCTGGTTTCTTGATGTGACCTTCCGGATGGTTGGTTGGAACTCTATGACCAGCTATCATAGAAAATTGGTACCAGCCCTAGCAATGTTGTTTTGGCAGGCACAGTGGACTCCTCCTGGTGTCAAGATTAACTGGAATGATGCTAAACAAGCCTGTGGCTGAATCTATATTTCCCATTATTTCAGAAAGAGGGAGGCGTTGAAATTAATTCCACTATATGAGGATCACATTGCTCTTGCAGTGAGGAAGAGGTTATAATAGCTCTAGAAACCTATAGAAAGCCAGTTTTTTTTTTCTACAGTTCCAGGGAAATAACTTTCTCATCACTTTTACGTTATTGTGGCCCCTTTGGAAGGTGGTAATGAATGAGCATTCCTAGAAGTCTGAAGATATAACTCAAACAGATGGAGTACGCACTCAGATTGTACCCTGCTCAACATTCCATCCAAAATGCCAGGTCTTTAGGGCTTCCAGTTGCTGTAGGGAAGGTGTTTAAAATCCTTCAGTTTGCACGGTTGGCAATTGGGCGACTATTTACAGAGAAGGAAAAGATCCCTAGTGATGTGAGGAAGGTGTATGTGGTAGATTTAGTGAGTAGGTTTCCATTCCACTGCAGAAGCATCCTCTAGTGAGAAGGTACCACACTGGTTCTTAATTTTTTAAATTACAAAGCTCAGACTTTATAGGGGGCATACCCATTTCTAGTTTTTTTCTACTATACTTTCAATTCTGCTGCTTCTTCCTGCCCCATTGCTTGTGTTTCTTACTCTATGTGCTTACTACCTCCCAGTAGTGTTTGAATGAGGAGAGAAACTGATGTAGAAGGCAAAATTAATCACCTGATACCTTTCTGCTGGCCTCTTCTCTCAACGTATACATCTTGGTAGCCTGAAAAACTGGAGTACAGTTTATAACAAACTGATTGTTTTCCTCTAAAGGGAGAATTAGACATACGTGCCTTAATGACAGTTATAGCAAATTAGTTGTCTTATTGCTAGTAATCAATTGCTGGAGTATTTTTACAGTTTTGGAAGAACTCTTCCAATGGTTTGAGCTGAATGGTAAAGCTCCAGCAAAAACAGTGAGGCACTTAGCTCATGTCTTGGAAACATTTCTCTATAGTTCTGACCTGTAATTTAAACAGACACTGTACTGACTGTTTTTCTGGCTATAATCTAGAAAGCTCGTGAAGCTAACCAGGCACTCCAAGGTCAGCTGGATCATGCACTGCTTCAGGCTTTGGACCCTACCAGTAAAGGCAATTCTCTGTTTGCAGAGGTATGTTATGCCACAATTACTGCAGAATGTGTTCATTGGAAAGAGCTATAAATACTTCAATCACTATAAACTTGTACCTTCAGTTACACACTAAATGCTGATGTATTTGTGTTTCCAGAGGCATCAAATGTGACATTCTACAAAGACTAACGTAGATGTTGAGCTGTTTGTGGGGACTGAGTAGTAGACATTTGTTACTCATCTCTAAAGTGGTGTGGGAGTTAAGTGTGGTAGCAACATTTAATAAAACTGAATTGGACCACTTTGGAAAAACTTGAGGGTTGGTGGTGTAATTTTGGCTACTATACTAAGCTAAAAGAAAACCATAAGTTGGGAAGGAATATTCAGCTGGATGCTCTTATCTAATGTATTTGGGGAGTTAACTGATGGGGCTGTGTCTGACCTCCTGTAGGAGCCTGCCTGTGTTTGGCTTAGTAGTTGAGACATACAAGTACCGGATAATCCAATCGTATGAAGGGGATCATATCGTCTTACGTGGCATTTAAGGGAGTACCATGTTGTAGTTCTGTTCCAACTTCTCTCTGTAGATTAGTGTAACTGTCACAAGTACTCCTTTTCTTTTTGTAACTGTCATGAGACCTTTTTTTAGGTATATAAAAATTTCATGACAACTTGGACTAATGTCAGTAGGCAAATCTATGTGTACAGTACTACTAAGGGATCTTAGGAGTTACTTTACTTGTGTAGCTATAGCACAAGGGGCTAAAATCTCTATTTTAATCCATTGACCTTGCTCCTGGTAGTAAGGCAATATCTATTCATTCTAGATGCCTTAGAAGTACATGAAGTGTGTTGTTGGAGAAGTCACACTTCCAGAAGTGTCACTGGTGATGACTGTAACCTCATGTTCTTACCCTAACATCTTAAAAATTAGCATCCAATTGACCATCATTATGATTTCCATAGTAATAATGTGTTAACAATGTTCTATAGGTGGAGGACCGTAGGGCAGAAATGGAACGTCAGCTGATCAGTGTGAAAGTAAAATATCAATCACTACAAAAACAGCATGCATTCACTAGAGAACAATTGCAAAGAATGAAGGTATGACCATTATTGTAATACTCCAGGGTTTCCTTGGGGTCTGACAAGACACTGCTTGAGAGAACGGTTTAGGAATTTGATTCTACGGACTATAGGTAAAAAAACGTACAAGTAGTCTTCATACAAAAATAACAAACAGAATATGTCTGAGGATTTTGTCCATGTTCAGTTTAGTATCACATGAAGACTTAATTTATTGTTATTATTTTATTGATAATATTTCTTAAGTTATCAGTCATCCCAAGAAATCAAACGTTAGACTAAAGCTACTTCATTGTGGTAGCTATTTTGTTCTGTTGTCAGTCATTCAATACAGATTTTGAAAGCATGCAAAATAATTATTCTATTTTTGTCCTTGTTTCACCCCCAATACTCATTTGTTGTCCTTTTGCATTAATGTTGGAATCTATTGGTACTCTAATAAGCATTTACTTCTGTGCCTTATTAGAGATTGGCAATAACGTTGGCTGCCTATGCATTGCAGGTCAGGCCAAGAACTAAGCATGTTTTTGCTTTGTTTTTCCTCTGATCCTGCTGCTTTTACTGTCTATTGCTTTCTTGTTCTGATGATCTGTCATCCCTGTCCCAATACTCAACTCAGTCATACAATTCACAAGACCTTTTCTCAAACGTTGAGTACTTTATTAATTTTAACTGACAAGCAAATTAGGATACTATCACATCTAAACATCAAATATTGTGCACCCTCCTGAGTTAGAGCATAGTTGTCCCATCTTGCAGGAAAAACTCTAGGGGAAAGTTGTCCACAAGAAACTCTGAAGACTGCCTGGAAGCCAGCATTTGTGCATTATCTTAAGGTGAAGGGGCCAATTTTGATTTGGGAAAGGGTGGGACTGGGCGCACAGAAAGTACTCAACTACCATGTAGGGGGGATGATGATTATGGGTGGGATAGGGACTTCCAACCTTACGCTCCCTCCACAGTATTACCTGGATGCAGAAATAAGCTTAAAACAATCCTCTTCCAAAAGATAAAAGACTAGGAAAAGAATTATTGCAGAACTTCTGCATACTTAAGATAAGCATCTGGTGCATATATGCACCCATTTGAACAGCTGAGATGAAATTTCTTGCTCTGCATTCCCAGCAAATGTTTGAGCAACTAAAATGGCTAGCCAGCCTTCAAAAAGACTTTCTGATACTTTACCATAATAAATATTAGTTTAGATTTTTGACTGATTTTGCATTTTGGACACCTAATGTCTGAATTTTTCATTTCCCACCAAAGATGAGTAAAAAGCAAAAAATGAAATTCTAAATGTAAATATGAAAGGTAAGAATAGTGACTGTCTCAGTTCCCGTGTTTTAAAATGTGATCATTTTCCCCCAGTTGTTGTGCTACTTACCAATATTTGAAATGACTTTTCTGGCAAGCATTGCTTCTGCCAAGGTGGTTTTCTTTATTTCCTTGTCCCTTAGCCATGCTCGTTCTTCTTCCTTATCAATTTCCTTTCTACGCCACTCTGCATTGTAATATTCTCCAGTTCTTGCCTAACACTACTATGTCTAACAGTCCTCAGTTGGATTATCATCGGCTAGCCCTGGAAGAGGAAATCCATATTGTCACTACATGCTTTGGGAGCATCCTTCACTGTGTGGATACCCACTGTTGCCACCCTCTTTCCCTTCCCCACATGAATTCCAAATGTATTAAGGACTAGCCTGTTCCTGTGGGTCCAGTCTCTGAGTGTAGTGGAAAGTGTTGATTTCCATAACTTTATCACATCTGAAATATTGCTTTCCACAGCTAATTCCTTCCCTTCCTCAGACTGGCAACCAGCATGGGGAGCAGTAGTGGGGGCAATAGAATCTGACAGTGCAGACTGGCTCCACTTTAAAATGAGTGGAGTAAATGTGAAATGAGCTTTCTGCTTGCTGGGAAGAGTAAGGGTGGCATCTCTCAGGAAAGAGGAGTTGGGAGAGATGGTATTGGGTGGATTAGGAGGAGGGTGAAGGAGTAGGAAGAAGCAGAAACTTACCAGCTCCTGTCTGTTACAAATCTTAAGGATGAATATACTTGACCTCAGGGACTTCAAGGGTTAATGCACTTCATTTATCCATCTGTATTTTACTTCTGGTAATGTACATGCTTTGGATATAGTCTTCATTCCTGTCACTTCTATACAGTCTCGTTCAATATTAACTGTGTATTAGGTTGTTAAAGCTGTTTTTACTAAACCAGTGAAATGCAATTCATAATGCCTTTGCCATAGCATTACTTTCAGCCTGTGCTCTTACATAGAGGATATTCACTGCTATTCTGTGTTGCTTAATTGCATGTTGCTTCTCTTTTACTTCATGTACACACATTAGACATATAAATTAAACTGGAGTCTTTGGGATGTGGAGGACAGACCTTCTGACTTTATAGGTCATGTCGTCAAGATATTTTTGGATGGTGCAGATGTTAATTTAATAAAATAACACAACAAAAGACTTCAGATGAAAGCTTTGCTTGCTTGCTTTTATTTGTGTATGATACTTTGAAAATCACTTCAAAAGCAAGTCAGTTGAATCGATGGTCTTGAATCCACATTTAAGTGTTCTCTCTGTTTGGCTACAGCTGAAATCAATCTTTTAATTATTCATGTGCTTTATAATAGAAATGGGTTTGGTGGATATTAATATTTGTTTGAACATGTGGCATGTAAATGGAATTTTATTTGACGGTTGACTGCTCTGGCTAAATGACTACAAAAAGGCATCTTCTTGGAATCATTCTAGTACACACAGATCCTTTCTTTAGAATCAAACACTTTTTTTTTACTGCTTGTTTTGTATGGCTAAACAAAAACAAAGCATCTTGTAGCTTTCTTGTGTATAACCAACACAGTTGTACATGAAATTTTAGCTGGGCTTACAGAGGAGTTTGTAACTAAGCTTGGAGAACGTCACTAGGTAATGCCCAATAAGGACAGCTATGACTTGAAAACCAGCCCAGGTTGAGTTGGATAGACCAGCAAGTATTAAAAATCCATCTTTATTGTATAAGAGCATATTTAATATGACAATTGAGATAACTTAATGCCATTTATGTACTTGTAGGAGTAGAAAAGTATTTAAAGTATTGCAGTGAATGTCAGCTGCTGAGTTAGGACTGCAGTCCCCTAAGTTTCCTGGGTAAGGATATGGGTTCCGAAAGGTTTTTCTTTGAGTCTTAACATTGGTATGGTTTTTGCTTGATGTTTAGCTACAAATGGCTACGCTGCTGCAGATGAAAGGTTCTCAGGCAGAACTTGAGCAGCTAGAACGTTTGCAGTCAATGTTAGAACAAAAGAATGGTGAAATAGAAGATCTTCTAATGAAAGTGAGGCAACTGGAGAAATTTAAGGTACGTATTTTACAAACTAAACCTGTAAAGTTGAACTCTTGTAATGTGGGACAAATAAGTTCTTCAGAATATGAGAGGAGACTTTTAGCATAAACTCTTTATTTGTAATTTAATTGTAATTCAACAGTGCTCACAACTCTTATTTAGGTTGGTAACAGTCTCCGTTTTACAACTATTGTGTGCATCTTTTAAGTCCTAAAGAGTGCCACAACTCTAATTTTTATTCTTGTGTTTTAAGGCCAGAGGGACCATTCTATCACTTAGTCTGACCACTTACATATCACAGACTACTATTAAATTTCACCCGGTTTCATATGTATTGAGCACAATAATATGTATGGCTAAAGGATATCTTCCAGAAAGGCTTCTAGTCTTGACTTGAAGAAATAGAGTATCTGCTACTACTTATTAGCTTTTTCAAATAGCTAATTACTCTCGTTGTTTAAAAATGTCTGTCTTCTAATTTGAATATGTCTGATTTTAGCTTCCAATTATTTGGTTCTTGTTATCCCTTTTTCACTAAATTGGAGCCTTTTGGTACCCTATATCTTTCTCCCCATGAAGGTATTTGTACACTGTAATCAAGTCATTCTCAATCTTTTTTGATAAGCTAAACAGAGCTTTATAAGTCATTGACTGTGAAGCATTTTCTCTGGCCCTCAAGTAACTTTTGTAGTTCTTCTCAGCACCCTCTCTAATTTAAAAAAATAAAAAATTTGGATACCAGAACTGGATGCAATATTCCATTGTCTCAGCAGTGCTGTATACAGAGGTAAAATCTCCTCTTCTCCCCTTCACTTGCCACTTTAAAATAAATGTATTTTGCTTTGTAAAGGCTAGCTGGTCACTGGTATTCAGTGGTGCGTGTGCGTGTGAGAGAGAGAACTTCAAGGGCTAGACCAGGGGTAGGCAACCTATGGCACGTGTGTCAAAGGCGGCACACGAGCTGATATTCAGTGGCATTCACACTGCCCAGGTCCTGGCCACCGGTCTGGGCAGCTCTGCATTTTAATTTAATTTTAAATAAAGCTTCTTAAACATTTTAAAAACCTTGTTTACTTTACATACAACAATAGTTTAGTTATATATTACAGAATTATAAAAAGAGACCTTCTAAAACTTTAAAATGTATTACTGGCATGCAAAACCTTAAATTAGAGTGAATAAATGAAGACTCTGCACACCACTCCTGAAAGGTTGCTGACCCCTGGGCTAGACTAAGGTCAGACCTGCTGGGATAAATGCACTGGTTTACAGGACAGCTGGAAGCCTAAATACACAATCTGGAGGGGCAGGGATGCAGGTCCCTGCTTTGAGAAAGGTGAGGCCTAAGAAGCTTGAGACATTGCAAGCCCTCACAGAGTTCAAGAAGGAGATCCAAGGGGCCATTGATACCATGACTGTCTCAGTTCTGGTATCAACAAGGAGACTTTTTAATTCTGTTTTTTACTAATAATCTACAGAATGTTTGGGTAGCTTATGCTATGCTGGAAAAGGAGGGGTAACTTTTTAATCAAGGCTTTTTTGTGTACCTTTGAGACAGGAGGATCTTTTTCAGTTCTGGCTGCTTCTCTAAGACAAAATTTTGGATGAAAACACTCAAATGAAATGAGGCTCTTTCTACCTCAAGTTTAAATCCCTTTATAAAGACTACCTAGCAAGTAGCTTTTTCTGTAACAGTTGTATTAAAATTTTGATGGAATAGTGAAAACTGTAAGAATAGAACTAATGCACTTCTGAAAAAGCCACTAGATGACAATTTTTTAAACTCTTCCCTTGCATCAGAATTTATATGAGAACATGGAAGAATCAAAACCTTCTAGTAGCAGTTCAAGAGGTGGAGAATTTGGAGATGGCTATTATACAGATCTGCTTCAAATGAAACTTGAGAACTCCAAGTAAGAGTGTGGCGGTTTAGAGCCTAGAAATAGAATTTAGGAATTGTTTTAATGTTTAAAAAAATACTTGTAATCTACATCAACTTAGAGCTGTCTTGCACTCTGCCATTTCTTGGTTTGTCCACATATATTCTGTTCTCGGTGCACATGGACCCTAGGTGCTCAAGACTGGAATCTTTAGGTCATCAGTATCCTGCGTGTACCAGTAGCACAAAAGACAGAGTGGCCCCAGCTGCCCCTCAGTTATTTCTCACCACCTGTGACTGAGATGGAGCTCCTTGGTGCCCATGATTTTTACACATGCTTTTTTTAAATTACAGTTAGCTGTGTGCATATTAGTTTTGAGTACAGTCAGTTAGGGTACCAGCCTGTTTGGTAAATTCTGATAATTTTATTATTTGGAAGTTTTAACTTGCTTATTTTGTTTTGATTTGTTAATTCTCCTCCCCAGTACCAGGACTTGGGAATGATCTATCTTAAGTCTTCTGGCTTTAAGTATTGCCCCTTTTGCCAGGCAGCAGTTCCAAAAAATGATGGATACATGAGATGTCTGTTCTGTCTGGGGCATCCCATATCCCCGACAAATGTGCTTTGGTGCAGTCTTGAGATTTGGAGTTAACTGCTGCTAGTACGGAGGCCAGAGCATTGGATCAACTCAGCATAGTGCTTCAACATTGGTCATTATGGAACTAGTCCCATTGGTAACACTCCCTTTAATGCTACCCAGTCTGTATTAAATGCACCAGTGCCAGGCATGCTGGCACCGTCAACCCACACAGATGCTTTACTGTCTGACACAGAGGCTTATGTCCCTGTCCCTTGGTATTGAGAGAGGATATAATAATGAGTTATCTTAAAGTCTGCTCTGCTCTCCACGGGGCTACAGATCCCTTCCATGTTACTGAAGAGCTTTTATCTCATTGGCATAGAGTGCCTCCTCAAGGACGATGCCCTCTAGGATCCCTTTGAAGCCTAACACCCTGGCTTCAGCATGCCCCTTCTTTAACACCTAGAATGCTCATTTTCATCTTTTCATCATTTGTTTTTTTTTAACCTTTTATGTTAGTCTCTCTGTCCAGGAAACTGAAATCTACATTATTGATGTGATTGTGAAAGACATTATGTGGCTTTTACTACTACTGTCAAGGTTCCTTCCCCGCTCTGAACTTTAGGGTACAGATCTGGGGACCTGCATGAAAGACCCCCTAAGCTTATTCTTACCAGCTTAGGTTAAAACTTCCCCGAGGTACAAACTTTTTACCTTTTGTCCTTGAACCTTTATGCTGCCACCACCAAAGTGTCTAACAAAAATAACGGGGAAGTGCCCACTTGGAAACGTCTCCCTCCTCCCTCAAAATATCCCCCCAAGCACTACACCCCCTTTCCTGGGGAAGGCTTGATTAAAAATCCTCACCAATTTGCATAGGTGACCCAAACCCTTGGATCTTAAGAACAATGAAAAAGCAATCAGGTTCTTAGAAGAAGAATTTTAATGAAACAAAAAGTAAAAGAATCACCTCTGTAAAATCAGGATGGTAAATACCTTACAGGGTAATCAGACTCAAAACATAGGGAATCCCTCTAGGCAAAACCTTAAGTTACAAAAAGACACAAAAACAGGAATATACATTCCATTCAGCACAACTTATTTTATCAGCCATTTAAACAAAACAGAATCTAACGCATATCTAACTAGATTGCTTACTAACTCTTTACAGGAGTTCTGACCTGCATTCCTGCTCTGGTCCCGGCAAAAACATCACACAGACAGAGAGATCCCTTTGTTTCTCCCCCGCCCTTCTCCCTCCAGCTTTGAAAGTATCTTGTCTCACTGGTCATTTTGGTCAGGTGCCAGCGAGGTTATCTTAGTATCTTAACCCTTTACAGGTGAAAGGGTTTTTCCTCTGGCCAGGAGGGACTTAAAGGTGTTTACCCTTCCCTTTATATTTATGACAACTACTCTAGGGTTTCTTAGTTTTTATTGTCTTGGATTTTAGTTCTAGAGGTCCTTGGATTTACTTTCATCCTTAGCTGTATATAAATTAATGCCATTGCCACCCCCAGTCTAAGGTTACATGTTACTCTTATTTCAAATTGAAGAGAAAATTGTGTATCTAAAATATTATTGGGAACTTCTTTCTGGTTTGAAGTCCAGGTTTCATCATACAGAATAACAGTAGTGTGCTCTTCTCCTAAAATGACCCAGTTTGGTACTGTATGCAGAGGAGCAAAGCTTCAGTGGAGCCATGACAATTTAGATCAGCAAGAGATCTGTCCCCCGGTCTTCAGTATTTAGCTCAAATGGACTACTCCCCCTCCAAACACTGAAAGTACAGGCTGTGAAGTTGAAAACAAAACCAAATCTTATTTGTCCATGCACAGGTTGTGATTTGGGAGGGAGGGTTCTCTGATTAAATTTGTATTGTATAATTTTCACTGCGGTGTTAGATAACTGCTTGTTTAAGTAGCTTGTGTTCTCCATTAATTAAACTATTATTCCTATTCTAGAAATGAAGAGACTTCAAAATTTCAACTTTGGGTTGGGATTTTTCAAGGCTCCCTAGAGGAACTTCCAATTGCAGTTAATTGTTCTAAGAGGATCTGAGCAACCAAATACTTTAGCTTTGAAAGCTCACTGTAAATTGTTACCTAATTTGACTCTTGTGAATTTTAAACTTGTCAATTCCTTTTCCTTCCCAGTAAGGAGACCGAAACTTTGAGAAACGAACTATCCTTACAGAGGATGAAAGCTTTGTATGAGAGCCAGAGGGTTCTGGAGGTAGAAAGGAAGCTTTTTGCCAATGAGAGGCACCTGCAGGTTTGCCAAAGTGAGAACATGAACTTGCGAGTTATGCTGGATGAGCTGAAAATGAAGTATGAACCTGAAGGTAACTTTTTCTGATCACTAATACAGTTGAACAAAATAAATACTTGAGCCTCTTTTGCTATAACTAGGTTTTTGTTAAGGCACTAGTTTTCAACCAACTAAAAAGATGTCTTCAACCTGACCATAAACACTCTACTTAAACAAGTGACTGTAAAACATCCTGCTGTCTTGTAAGTTGCTGAACAGCAGTGATTTTTAAAACATTGCTTTATTGAAATGAATATACTGAACTAGTATACTGACTTTTAATTTCACAAGTCTGAAATCCGTGTGCGTGTATATATAGTTATACATGTGCTATAGAATTCTGAAACTAAAACATGGAAATTCACAGCAAATCGTGAATGGAACTTTTGAAGCAGGATGGAAACTCTGGATGCTAACGTTTTTTTACCAGTCAAAGACACTTGGCCTGCACATTACTTTGTGGAGATCTCTGAAGAAGTTCAGAGTTGTTTTTGAAAGTGAGAGTTGACCATGTAACTTTCTCCTTCGTTAGAGAGAATCTGCCACAGCCATGGGTGCAAAGCAGTGACTTAGCACTCTAACCTTGCCCATTATTGTCCTAGCTTTTAAAGGCAAATTTTGTGTTGGAGTCCACCGCTTCCTACCCTTTAGAGCCCAAGCTCCAGCCTGAGCCACAGTTTCAAAGGGCTGTCTATGCAGCTATTTTTAGAGTGCTAGCCTGAGCCAGAGTCTGTTGACCCAGAATGGGAGGCTCACTGCCATGGACTGTATAGACATCCACTGAGTACGAAATCTTTTGTGGTGCTGTTTACTGAATGGGTTTACCTGTTGAACTCCTTCCTTTCTATATGTCCCTCCTCTTCTACTCAATATGGCATAGTTGGCAAACAAAACATTTCTCCTCCACTAGAAAATGGTGGTCAGGTTGAATCTCTCTTGAATTCACAAAATCTTGCCAGAAAGGAGCACATGCTGGTTCAGTCTGACAAGGCTGCCATGTCAGTGCTTGTTCATACTCTAAGCCTTGACTTTTTTCCCATCATAGCTCAAACTGGGGAGAAGTCAGAATGCCACAGTAGTTCCTTTATTATGAGTGAATTCTTCCAGAGTCTGCCTCCCTGAGAAACCTGTTGGGTGCTACTGTGTGGCCACTACAAAGCTTGTGGATGCAGCTAATTGTTTAGCTGACATTTAATCCTACAATGGAGATTTGAAGGAGTCCCGGAGTCCACGAAGAGGTCAGCTATCTCAGGTACTGGCAGAAAGAGAAGTGCAAGCTCAGATCTCTGCCAGTCCGAGACATTATCTCTAAAAAGGAAGCATTGGTAACATTTTTTAGTTTCTGTTGCCTGCAAGAATGTTTTACAGCCAAAATGGCTTTTTAGATGTAACTGTTGTCTTGTTTCAGCAGTGGAGCAAAGCCTAGTTTGGTGTCAATGAAAACTGTTGTGATTATTTCTAAAGTTTCCATTAGCTTCGAGCTGCCGGGTATGCTGATCACTGTATAATCCTCATTTTTTTTTCTTTTAGTTGTCTTGGGACAATTGCAATCTTCCTTTGAATTTCTTGGAGCAGATGAGATGTGTACACTGAAAGATTAGATTAGAGGACAGGGTGGGAGTGCTGCACCATTGTGACCGTGTGGGGAGGATCAAAAATTGTTTTGAAAAGAACAGAACAATTTTTCTGCTGAAGCATTTCAACGGTGTGAATCCTGAGATTGCGTCTCCAGAAAGTTTACTAGAATCTGAGTTGCGATAAAATATTTGAAGCATTTTTCATACCAGCTGTAACCAAGTGCCTTGTAAAATTACAGCTCACTGACTGAAAACAGATATAATGCAAGTTCTTTCCTTATATGGCTAATGCATTAAAGCTTTCAATCAGTCTTTCAGGCAGTGAGAAACTGAGGCATATGCAAGAAAGATGCTTTCAGGTGACCCAGTAGTTGAGTAAATGTGGAAAACACAAGTCTGGGAACTACTGAGAATCTTCACACCAATAGTGGTAAAAGGATGTAAGGGGGCATAAGAACAAATTGCTAGATGAGTTAAGCAGGTGGCAGCGAATCCTTGACCGTCTTAAAAATTCCCTGGCTTCCAGGTCCCTTCAAAGTAGAAAAGTTTTTAAGATAGAGTGATGTGGTCACGCTTCTTCATAACGATTGGAAAAAAAAAATAAAAATCAGCATTTTTGAAAGTTAGGTGTTGGAAAGCCCTAGGGCAGGGGAGGTTATACTTGCCCTCCTAGAGATGAAACTATGGCCCACATGAAGAGTACTGCAAAAATAATAGGCAGATATGTAGTGAAACAAATGTGGAAGAAGTCCATGGTCGTGAAGAAAGGAAACTAAAGTTAGGAAATGGAGTACTGTGTGAGGTAGCTTCTTCTGCCTAAAAGAAGCACTTGCCTTTCATTTGAGCAATATGTCATCAGTAAGTTTTAGCTACCAGGATAGCAGCCCAAAATGTCAGAAAAATCAGAACACACAAAAGGAGGTGTGTGCAGTTAGGTATATCTGCTTAAAAGGGGTTGGTGAAAATTTTAAAATAGAGGTGAGAGAAGGAAATCGGAGCTCCCAGTTAAGTTTTTGAATTTAAGTCTTTTGGGACACTTAAATGTATGTTACTAAAAAGTCACTGTCTGATAGCTCCATCAGCATGGAGGCAGTTAAACATCTTGGGATGGTCTGTATTAAACAAATTGTCACCTAAATAGGTTCAATGCTATCTTGCTGGTTTCAGTAATTGTATGAACACGTAAGTTTATTTCAATTACCAACATGTATGTTTGTATACAAACATAACTATCATTCTTCTCTAGAATTAATTAAAATCCCTAAAAGCATAAAAAGGAGGGAGAAGATTCCAGTGGACATGACTGCTGAACCTGTAGATAGCAAAAATGCTACAGTAGAGGAAACGACTCACTTTTCATCTCAAAATAAGGAAGAAAGAAAGATATGTTCCAAGAACTTGGAGCCAAGTGATGCCCCTCAAAGAAAATATGTACTTGTGCCAGCGCCAACGAACTTCACGCCTCTTCCAGCAATACAGCTAAAGGCTGAACCTGAGAAGGACAGGAAAAGAGTTAAAATCAAAGAAGATAACACCAAAGGTTCAAGTGAAAGAAATGGAAATAACTCTCTAACTCCAGTTGCCTCCAGGTCAGTGTCATCTTGTGTGTATGCTTATGGCAATCAGCGCAGACCTGCATCTGTTTTTTTTCGCTGCATGAACTATGCTATCCACTTCTTTATCTATTTTCTCAGTGTTGCATGCAGTGTAATTCCTCAGTTCCGGCTGCCTACACTCAACTTTTCAAAATCCTTTAAAAAGGCTAAAATGATTGCTAATGAAAGTGACTCTTAGAATCATGAACCTGGATCTTGGGAAAAACTGATATTTAAGGTTTACTGTTGTTCAAAATATCAGTGTTTTGATTTGTATATCTTTAACTTAACCATGATAAATCAAACTTCATTTGCAGAGGCTTCAATATGAGGCTTCTTTTCGTGGTCTGTTTGAGGCTGCCATACAAAACTGACCTTGGCAGGGTTTAGGGATTGCATTCCAGGAGTCGTTTGAAAACTCAAGACTTAAAATAATACATAACCTAAAATTTGCACTTCACTAAAAAATGATTACCAGTAGCTTTCAAATGACTTTTTATTATTCAAGATCATGTTTTAATGGATTATGTAATAACTTTTTGTTTTGAAAACTAATATTTGTCAAAGTTACTAAAACTTTCACCGTTTTATTCAAAATTTAAGTAATGATTGATAGAGACCTAGCACTGTGTACAGAGGTCCAACGATTTTGTCTTTGTAAAAGGAATGCTACTTTCTGTTTTCTGTTCAAGTTAATATTCTCATGTGGGAGCATGTGTGGGTACACAGAAATCATGTGAAGGCTAATATTACTCCTTTGAGCTCTAATGACAGGACAGAAAGTTTATGTAAGTAAAACTAGAGAGAGCCAGCATTTTCTGATATTTCAGGTCAGGCTCTGCACACAATAGAGTGTAGCTATGTTGAGAAAATTGCTGAGTGAAACCATTCTGGAAGGAGGGTGGAATAGAATGTTGAGTGGGGGAAAAAAAGCTAAATTTCCTTTAAAAAGTGTTCATTTTCCATGAGGTGTCCAGCTGCCTTACTGCTTTTCTCTTTACCATGTTCTTGCCTCAGTCTTTCAACTTAGTATTGCATATAGCTCCCCGTGGGGCAAGCTAGTTTGCCAGAAAATAATTGCTGCAGGAATGTGAGCCACTCCCTTTAATGCTGACTCTGTCTCCTTTATAGTCCCCCTCAGAAACTTCCCTTTTTTCCCCTCCTCTCTTGTTTCTGAAATATTTTTTTCTTAAGCTTCTATTTAGCATTGTTCATGGTACAGCATAATGCTTTATATTGGAACCATATATACTACAATCAAACATAATACAAACTGTTTCCAAAGCATATGGAAATTAGATACAGAACTATGCTGAATGAATGTTAACGGTTGTGAGGTCAAAGTTAGGAAATGCTAGAAGTAAAGATTCCTGTGCAACCTCTTTATTGCTTCCTTGTATGGATATAATTAGAGACAATTAAAATGGTGCGATCACAATATTTTTTTGCAAAACTCAAGTCTCATTCACTGCACTTCATAACTACCCTGTTTTATATTTACACTATTTAGAGAAGCTTTAAAATATAAATTCAGAGAAGATCTGATGAATAATAGGAGGATACACTGAGAAAGCACAATGGGTTGTAAGATTGCAACATCACTGGGTTGGAAGAACTTGCTGGTTCCATTTTAATTAGTAGGTTACATGGACTGGGGGTAGTAAGGCTTTGCATGATGAAGAGGCTGTAGCTTGGGAAGTGGGATTACTGGAGGTATTACATATATGCAGAAGCATGGAAAAGGGCTTGGGTGAGAAGAAAATCAAGGCAGCCTCAAGTCTGTCATGAGAAGAACAGAGGGGAATATGGCAAGACAAAATCAGATATTGGTCAGGGAAGAGAAGAGGGACATAAATGCTAGAAGATGATGCTTAGTATTGGCATTAGTTACTAGAGTACCTTTTTAATGGGTGACAGTGGGCTTACTAACAAACTAAATTATGACAAGTGTCTGTTTCAACGCATGTGGAAAAGGTCGCAAAGGTTCATTTAAGTGCACGTACAACTTGTAAGAAATATAAGGAACGCAAAGGTAGTTATTGGATTCTCCTTCTGGCGTGTGTCGTATAATTCAGATATTGAATGTTTTGGTTTGGGGGGCACAATTTGTGAGCTTCCAATGTAGTTAGAGTAGAATCTCTCCCCTCCCAAACAGTCTTATGAGCTTATTGTCCAACTGATTTTAAGTAATTTAGTCACGAATACTGACTCCCACATCCCTTATCTAGGAGAAAGGTGAGGAGGAATGAGCAGGAATGTCAAAAATTGGGAAGGCCTGAGAGGGCCAAATTGGTTATAATGGTTTTTGGAGTTTCGGGCCTCCGTTGGGGCCATCTTGCCTTATCTAGAAGGGAAGGAAGCACTTAAAGCTGGATGTGAAAGAGGTGCCCAGGTATGACTAACTGATGAAGCAACATCAGCAGGCTTTGGAGAAAGTAACATTAATAGTTCATGGGTTAATGGAAGGCTGTTAAAATGTGTAGCATTTCTGAGAGTGAAAAGGTGGATTAGAGAAGTCAGCTGTGGGTTTGAAGGGAGGAGGAAGCCAAGGAGGAAACTGTGTCTGACAAATGGAGGGTTTGGGGAGTAAAGGAGGGTGGTGGGTGAATGAAGACTAAATAAAATCAAGCAAAATTTTTAATTTATGGGAATAATTTTTATTTCTCCTGCACCATTTTATGTTGGCCTAGATAGCACATAGATATAGAAAAGAAAAATCAAAACTCTAAGGGCTTTTGGTCTCTATAGAAATGTTGGTTTGTTCTCCTTGGTTTTCTTTTCCCAGGAAGAGGAAAGTGTTCTGACTCAACTATTCTAATTTCATTTAACTCTTCCTTTTGGATTATCCTGATTGTGCCCCCTGCACCCCTAGTGCAGACTCATTAGAGAACAGCAAGGCTTTCATTCCTGTTTGGCAAAGTTCTATAAGCCTGTTTAGCTCCATTGAAGCCTGTTTAGATCATGATCCCCAGAGGGAAGAGCAACTGCTTTACTCAGTGTCCATTCTTTGAAATTTGTGATGTTCCATCTTGAAGTTTAAATTAACTCTTTTCCTGAAATATCTTTCTGTGTAGGAACCAGATTGCATGCTATTTGGCAATACACAGTCCTTCATTCTCTGATTAGTTATCACTCCTCAGCTCTCTTCCATAAACTTGTTGTTTCTTTCACGATATACTATAATGGAGATTGGCAGAAGAAATAATGTGAAGGAGAAAGGAAGTTTACTTAGCAATAACCAGAGTTGAGTTCACTTAATGTACCCAATAGATACTTGCTGTACCATCCTCCTTTTACTTCATTAGGGTGGAGAAGCACAGATGATGGTTAGGTAGAGAGGGTTTGTATATCTGACTTGACAGTTGCCTTTCTGTCAGTTGGCTTAATATATTTTGGTTTAGGTGAAAAGCTTAATTACCTGATAAGGTAGGTAGGGGTGTGTGTGTGTGTGTAAGTAATACCTCAGTCAGACAAGATGCAAGATGATGTTTGCTTCAAGGTAGAAATAGTCTTAACAGAACTCTTGATTTGGGTAATTGGTACAGTAACATGTTGCAGCTTGAAACTTGCAGACATATGTGGTGATTTATTATTAGGGCTCTACCAAATTCACAGCCATGAAAAAGTGTCAAGGACCGTGAAATCTGGTCTTCCCCTACCATAAAGTCTGGTCTCTTTTTTGTGCTTTTACTCTGTGCAGATTTCACAGGGGAGACTAGTGTTTCTCAAATTGGGGGTCCTGACCCATAAGGGAGTTGCATGAGGGTCACAAGGTTATTTTAGGGGGGTTGCAGTATTGCCAGTGTAGAAACCACTGGTTAAATATCATTATCAAGAGATAATGAGCAGAGTAGCACACTTTCAAATCTCTGTCAGAGGGGCTCTTTTCTTGTACACTTTAAACTGCCTAAGGGACTTACAGGTAGTGGTCCAGAGGGCATCAAGGGAAGGACGGGTGGGGGAGCCATCAAGCAGAGGGAGCACTAGCAAGAAGATACTTGGCAAACAAAGCTCCAAGTGCTACAGGAACATAATTGCTTTTTTAGAGGAAGCTCATCAATCTCGCTGGACAACAGACTCCTTACCAACCATGAAGTTTGCAAGATGGTTCTTAGAGTATATGTTGCTATGAGTGCATCCACCTCGGTACCATAGTACGTGCATACGCCTGTGCGCTCTTGATTGGAGACTGGAAAGTAGTGTTTATGGGCCTGTGCCTGCATAGAACAACATCTTGTGGTCCAAATAAGAAGATATCGGCAGGCACAAGCCAGCCACCACTCAATTCCTGCTCAGCCGCCTACAGTTTGAGAGAAAGTCTTTGCTGTTAGCTGTTTCAGCTTCTTGCCTTTTTCACCTTTTGGAAGTCTTTATTCATTATTGTTTGTTTCCCAGTTATTTACTCAGTTCTTTTTTTGTGTGCTTCTGAAGAGGGATTTTTCCTCTCATACTTCTGGACCTTTGTGCCAGAGCATAATTTATGCCTAACACACCTGTGTTTAAGTCCTACCACAGGTCTTTCCCCTGCAGTGATGGACATTTAAAGTAGCCTGTGGTGTTTGAGGGACTCCCATATCCCCTCAAAATTCAAGGTCTGTCTGGGATGTAAGGGTAGGTCCAAAAAAGACGGGGAGGCTAGACTAAAAGTCCTCCTAATGGAATGCTCTCCTTCCCCGTTACATTGACCTAAAAATTGCAGGCTGCTTTTGTCACTGGTCCAGCTTTGTCTGTGACCACGGACCTGAAGACCTCATAGAAGAAGCAGCACATATCCCTAATCTTGGTGCTGCAGGTGAGCCCACAAATAACTGGCAAATAACAAGGCAGAGCAAGATCCCAGTCCTTACGTGCAGAGTTGCTGTGATTCTAGAACTGGTGTATTTCCTGTCGAGTAGACTTATAAGTGGTCTATCTATCTGTCCTTCAGATTACGATCACTGACTCCCTGAGCAGACACTACTGGCAAGACCACAAATGACAGCTCAAAGATGGTCATTTGCAGCATCTGCCAGACCTGAGGTCTACCACAAATAGATCTCTTTGCCACCCTGAATGACTCCAAAAGTCACCTGTTTTGCTCTGGGGGAGATGCGCTGATAACTCCATAGCCTCATGCCCTGCTTTTATACTTAACTGCCGAGACAGTCCTCAAGACTGTTTTCAAACTATGCACGGAAAGAGAGAGCTATTCTCATAGCACCAGCCTGGCCAAGATAGATGTGGCACTTAAACCTCATCCATTTTTAGGAGGTGGCACCCTTATGACTTCCTACCACAGAGGACCTATTGACACAGAACTCGGGGTCCTTTATCCACTCCAGCCCTTTCTCTCTGATTCTCAACGCATGGCTCATGAATGACTCTTGACCATGGAATTGACCTGTTTGGAGGCAGTTCAGTCAGTTCTTTTGGCCAGTAGAAAACTCTGTACCTGCAAGACTTACCTCCAGAAGTGGAAAGGCTTTCATTCTTGGTACAGTTCCATTTTTCCAAGACTTAGAACTTCTGCTTACCAAGATACTGGAATTAAATGTGAGAGGTCTGTCAATAAGCTCTATATTTCTATATTAGGCTTCTGCACAGCTTCCCACTCCTCTATCTAGGGGTTCTTTGTTTTTGCCCACCTTGCCACAGCTAAATTTTTGAAAAGTCTATACAATTGTATCCTCCTATCTGTGACCCAGCCCCCAGCAGGACCACAACCTGGTTCTTAATGCTTTAAGGAGAGTCTTCTTCGAGCTGATTGACCATGCTCTCCTCCACTTCTCCTTTTAAAACTTCACTTCTGGTCACCAGTACTTGAGCAAGAAGAATGGGAGAGCTGAGGGAACTTATGGCCAAACCACCATATACCACCTTTTATAAGGGCATGGCTGTATTAGGCCCCCATCCCTCTCCTCCCATCCCCCCCAAAGATCTCATTAGCATATCACATTAACCAAGGGATTACCTTCCTGTATTCAAGCCAAAATCTGATACCTCAGAGAGGAATCGAGCCTTCATTCACCGGATGTTAGACAGTCCCTTGTCGTCTATTTAGACAGGACTACATTTTAAGCTATTTGTATCTTCTTCTTCTTTGAGGAGTGTCCCTGTGGGTGCTCCACTTTGGGAGTCTTGATGCTTGTAATCAGAGATTTGTGGTACGAGTGCCCGGTTGGGCCGTGCACGTGCCATTGCCGTCTTGCGCTGCTCTGAGTGGGTACATAGCGGTGTGCAGCCCCAACCATCGCTCAGTTCCTTCTCTACCACCTTTGGCTTGAGTTGGAGCAATCAGCAGCGCCTTCTCTTTCTTGTAGATAAGATTAGCATTAGATAGTTTTATAGTTTTAGTGGTAGGATAAGTAATAGTTAGATATCCCTTACCTCATTTATTTTACCAAAATTTTTTTTCCCTTCTTTTCTCTGTATTTAGCCTCTGTAGGAAGATAGGTTTAGGCTCCCATACACTGTCTGTCCCTTACTGCATTTTGGAGACAGACTTATCTGGCATGCCTGGATCACTAGCTTTCAAACTGTCTGACTTGCAGACTTTCTATCCCGGTATCTGACGAACATGCACAGTGCATCCAGTGTCTTGGCGAAACCCAAATTTCTCAAAAGCATCCACATTGCTGAAACCTCACAGCCAGAACCAGGAAGGCAAGGGATCTCCAACTGAAATTGCTCATGATGGAGACCTCTGACCTTGAGTCTCAGACACCTCTGGGCCAACAGTCTCCATCAGCAGCATCTGACAGAGGACCTGCTCCTACCTTCCCTCACCAGGAGCATTTACCTAAAAAGGCCACAAAAAAGAGGGCTCAGACTTCTACTCAGAGGGAATCTGCTAAGAAGCAGCGATCCCCACCTGCCAAGTCCATCTCGAACCAATCGCATCAAGTGCATCGGACTCAGAGACCCTGGGTCCTTCCGGCAGTGGGAGTTCTCATAGATCAAAGGACCCAAAGTGGGCAAGCTCTAACAGCGCCTCAGAGGGCACAACAAAGCCCTCCACGTCACCACCCACGGAACCTGTGGTGCCTGCACAGCTCAGCCTAAAACCTTCCGCACCGGTGCCTGTAATGCGTATGGCTGCACTGCCAGCAACGCTGACATCAGCGCTGATGCTGTTGGTACCGCACCAGTTCTTATGACATGCGGATCTGCGGGAATCCTCAACCCCTGAATTGCCGCTCCTCAGTACTGACAGCACTCCAGCCTGGTCGGTACCAAGTCCACTGACGACTTCACGTTGCTTAGCTCCGCCTCTTTAAAGCGACGAGGATGAGGAAGACAGAAAAGTGTTTACACGCCTCATCACTCCTCACCCAAACTGGGGCCATCCCACCAATCAAATTACCCTTAAGCTGCATGCTCTTGGTCTGGGCACACATGGACTCTGCCTCCCAACATCGCAGACGTCCTATCCCATCAAGACCCACAGCTCCGCAGTCGTCACCACCATCTCTCCCACCACCTTTGGACACGCATGAGAGAAGGGCAGAGGAAACAGAGGAATTCTCAGATCAGGAAGCCCTACCACTGGCTAACCTGTCATCTTTGTCACCTGATGAAACAATAATGCTCCTACCACAGGGACGACTTCAAGCTGTTCCAGGACCTTTTTAAGAGGGTAGCAGAATCCCTGGACATATCTCAGGAGGAGCTACCAGAGTCACAGTACAATCTGTTGGATATATTCCAGATATCCACTTCCAAGATTGTATTGCCAATCAATGATGCTATTATGTAGCCTGCCAAACTATCTGGCAGATGCCCAAAATAGCACCACCTTCTTGCAAAAGATCTGATAAGAAATACTATGTTCCATCCAAAGATGTTGAATTCCTTTTTACACACCCCACACCAAATTCCTTGGTAGTGAAATCTGTTTATGTAAGGCAGAAACAGCACCAAGCCAGAACAACTCCTTACGACAAGAACTGAAAGAGGCTAGACCTCTTCGGTCGCAAAGCATATTCGTCTGGCATACAACAGTTCTGCATAGCGAACTATGCATCTTTACTACCCAAGTACACTCTCTGTCTTTTCAAAGATATCTGAACCTATTGACCATTTTCCAGATGAAAGAACAGTTCAAAGTCAACATTGCAGAAGGCCACCTCATCGCCAGGCCTCCCTGGACTCGGCAGACATGGCTGCACAATACATAGCAATGTGTGTGGTCATGCGCCATGCATCTTGGTTACAGCTTTCCAAGGGAATTCCATTCGACAGTGGAGGATCTGTCCTTTTAAGGCCCAAAGTTGTTTGCGACCAAAACAGATGAGTCCCTTCACACTCTCAAGGCTCAAGGGCAACCTTAAAATCTCTGGGCATCTATACACCTGCAAAAAAAAAAATAGGGCAGGTATTATACACAGAGATTCTGCTTAACGCTGTATTGGCAATGCCACAGGCAATATGACTAACTGCATAGACAAAGATGTCAGCAAAACCAAGATCAACCCTCGACGTCTCAGCAGTCCACTCCAGACAGCAGTTTTCAAGGTGTGATCCAGGGCACGAGACCACCATGCTCTCTAACTCTGGAAACAGAAACGGTCTCCTATCAGTTCGGAGATTGCTTGTCACCATTTTACCAAGTGTGAAAACTGTCACAACAGACAGATGGGTTTTAGAAATTTATCCAAAAGGGTTACTCCATCCCCTTTACTTCTATTCCACCTACCTCTCCCCCCACCCACCTTCCCTATCCCTCTTCAGAAACTCATCTCACGAGCACCTGCTGCAACAGGAAATAAATCCCCTCATACAACTCGATGTCGAGGAACCCGTACCAATGCAACACGGGGTGGGAGAGGGGGGTGGTTGCGTTATTTTCTAATACAGAAAAAAATCTGGTGGGTGGAGACCCATCCTGGATCTACAGAAACTCAACAAATTTGTAAGAACACAATGTTTCAAAATAGTGTCATTATCTACAATAATTCCAGTATTAGAGAAGGGAGATTGGCTCTCAACCTGCAGGACTCATATTACCATCAACCCGTCACACAGAAGATTCCTGAGGTTCACCCTAGGGAAACATTTCCAATACAAAGTACGACCCTTCGGCCTGTCCACCATTCCGAGGGTTTTCTCCAAAGTTCTAGCTGTCGTGGCGGCATACCTCCTCAGATACTGAGTAATGATATTTTCATATTTGGACGACTGCCTCATAAGGGCACCAACGCAGCAAGAAGTAATAAACGCCATGCACAGTACGATAACCCTTTTCACGAGCCTAGGATTACAAATAAACGCACAAAAGTCCACACTCATTCCTGTCCAGAATCTGGAATTTGTAGGAGCCTGTCTCGACTGTTTAACAGCAACACTACTTCAACAATGCTTCCTCACAGCAGTCAATTTAATTTTGGCGGTGATGGACAGCCCACAAACAGCCGCCAGAATGTCTCTACAGCTCTTGGGGCATATGTCAGCAACGACATCTGTTGTCAAACACGCCAGACTTCACATGAGATGCCTGCAGGCCTGGCTTCGAACAATGGACATACTGCAGAGGCACTCTCTAAACAGACGCCACACTGGGTAAGAGACTCCCCAAAATGGTGAACATAACCAAAGAACGTCTGTATGGGAGATCCATCTGAAATCTATGCAATCACTTTCTACCTCTAAATACACAGCCATCAGGATCCTCACGGACAATATAGCATGCATGTTTTACATAAACCGCCAAGGGGGAGCACAGAGACAATACAACTTGGGAATTGATGCATCAGCAACCACATCAATATATCAGCATCCTACCATCCGGGATTTCAGAACACAACAGCGGATGCCCTAAGCAGAGTTCTCACAAACCCATGAATGGGAGATGGATCCTGGAATTCTATGTGCCATATTCGAACTATGGGGATTTCCCACCATAGAGCTCTTTGCAACAGCACAGAATACCGCACACTATTGCTCCAGAGCAGGATTGGGACACCACTCCCTAGCTGATTCTCTCCTTATCTAATGGGATGCGCCGCTGATGTATGCATTCCCTCCGACCCCACTCCTAAACCGGGTCACTCACAAGACCAAGAAGGACAAATCCAGAGTCATTCTGATAGCTCCTACATGACCCAGACAAACGTGGTTTCCATATCTCCTTCAGATGGCAGTTTGACCCCACCTCAAACCCTTCCCCTAGTACCTCATCTTCTATCACAATATGCAGGACATGTCCGCCACTACACCTCACGGCCTGGTTACTCCATAGCTGACTGTGGTCGAGGAGGCCTGTTCAGATTAAGTAAAAGATATACTACTGAACAGTTGGAGAGCAAGTACAAGAAAGACCAATATCCATAAGTGGAAATGATTCAGCGTTTGGTGTCAAGATAAACAGATCTTACCAACATCTTCCCCTTTACCAAGGGTCCTGGACTACATATTATAATTAAAAAAATCAGGGCTTTCCACAAGCTTCATCAAGGTACATTTGGCAGCTATTTCCTCTTTCTGTGACAAAGTGGATGGAGCCATGATATTTGCCCACCCGATGACTAAATGCTTTCTTAAGGGCATTGAAAGTGCCTATCCCACAATAAGGAACCCTTTGCCCCTGTGGGACCTCAAACTGGTCCTACATGGGCTTATGGAAAAACTATTTTTGAGCCACTTGCCACATACTCACTCCTCCACTTATCCATGAAGGTGGCCTTACTTATCGTCATTTCATCTGCCAGAAGGCTGGGAGAACTGGGGCATTAATGGCACACATCCCGTACACAACTTTCTTTAGAGACAAAGTTGCCTTAAGACCACACCCCAAATTCCTACCCAACATCGCCTCCCCCCTTCTTCTGAATCAGCCTATCTACCTACTGAGTTTTTTCCAAAACCACATGCAGATGGAAAGGAGGCATCACTCCCACACACTGGTCATTCATCGAGCTCTAGCTTTCTACATTGAAAGAACAAAACCATTTAGAAAATCTCAAGACTATTCGTTGCTATATCTGCTTCTCCTATTGATTGTTCTATCTCAAAATAGATACTATCTAAGTAGATATCAGGATGCATCCACCTCTGTTATCAAAACTCTCATCTACCAGTTCCAATGAACTCTACCAGAGTACTTTGGACATCAGTAGCCATCGTCAATAATGTCCCTATTGTTAACATTTGCGGAGCAGCAACTTAGGCATCAGGCCATACATTCACAAAACACTATGCCTTAGAGCAACAGTCTGCTTTGGACACTTGCTTTGGACTCAAGGTGTTATCCGCCATGCATACTGCAACTCTGAAGCCACCCCTCCCCCCCCTTAAGGGGCACTGCTCAACAGTCACCTAAAGTGGAGCACCCACAGGGACACTCCTCAAAGAAGAAAAGGTTACTCACCTTGTGCAATAACTGAAGTTCTTAAAGATGGCTATTCCTGTGGGTGCTGCCCAAGCCCTCCCTCCTCCCCTCTCCTTTGGAGTTTCATGCAGTTTCCCCTGGGTAGGGCAGGAACAGAGGGACGGTTGGCTGTGCACCACTATGTAACCACTCGGAGCAGCACAAGATGGCAATGGTGCATGCACGGCCCAATCCGGGCGCTGCAACCACAAATATCCGATTACAAGTGCAGGGCCTGAAGATACCTAAAGTAGAGCACCCGCAGGGACAACCATCTCAGAAAACCTCAATTACTGCACAAGGTGAGTAACCTTCTCTTTACAGAAAGATTGAAGGGCCAATCTGTTTCTCTGCAGTAGCTGTCAAAATGATTTTCAGGTTGTATTTTGACCTGTTAGGAAATAACTGGGATGTAGTCCCCCATATGACAGTACATTCCACTTGAGCTCAGTCCATGTCTACTAAAAGATGTTCCCATAGCAGAACTGCAACTTGTTCTTCTCTTCAGACCTTTGCCAAGCCTGATGCCACCTTACCTGCTTCCAGAGAGGACCCTGCCTTTGGTGATGCAGTTCTCTGAACAGTTCTTGACTTACCTTCCCAGTACCCACCACCTCTTTGAATTACTTCTTGGGAGTCTCCTATGGGGGAGTGCCCATAGAGACATGTACTCTAAGAAGGAGAGGTTACTTACCTTACAGTAGCTTGTCCTTGTGGAAGCTCCACCTCCCTCCCTCCTCCTCCTCTGCTGTGGAGTCTCTGGCTTTGTTGCTGTGAAGGAACTGAGTGGTGGTGGGCTTGCCCCTGCTTATTATCCCCTTGTTTTCATCACAAAGTGTTCAGTGCAGGTGTGGCCTGTAAGCACTACTTTGCATTCTCCTTTCAAGAGCGCGTGGGCACTCGCATCCTATGGGGGGACAAAAACCATCTAAAAGAATTCAAATTGCTGTAAGGTAAGAAACTTCTCCTTTGTTAACTTGTAAAGATTACATAGGGAGTCTAGCTCTTGGCCTGCAGTTTTGAGGCTTATTGAAGTGAGAAATGAGTGCTTTCAGGGACTTCTGTGCAACATACCACAACTGGTGAGAATTTTATGCCATTATATTTGGTGTAAAAACTAAGTGGGATGTTTTGCAGATAGATGGGGTCAGGTGAGGACTCTAGAAGTCAGGTTCATGTTCCAACAAAGCTTTTCAAGTCCCCAGAATTAGATTTCCTTACCCAGATGTGTGGATCTTATGCTGTTCCTCTCTTTCCATGGCAGATGATCTCTGACAACTGCAGCACTTGTTTGCATGGAAAAATAATAGGAAAACCATTTGCATTGAAAATGGTTATATAGCAGCAGTAAATAAGGGGCCAGCGCCATATGATGGGCAAGACCTATTAGAAAATAACTGAATAATTCCTTATATATGTTGGAAATAGATTACAAGGAGTATGATTCAACATGACATGTCTGATGTACTGAAAGTTGACAGACTTGTAAAAATCACTTATAATCATTAGCTTAATTAGTTAATATTATGCAATTTGAAAACTTGTGTAGTTGTAGCTTGAAGTCTGAGAACCTGTGTCTTAACGGAGGTCTTACACCACAGTGTGGAAGCCAACATTCCCCCTCCCCCCCACACACCTGTTTAGACTACAGGCAGATTAAAATCATAGCTTTGGCAAATTATGATAACCTTTGAGCCCAAGTAAGTCAATAAAAACTGATTGAGCTTCTAAGGTGTTCATGACCATCAGGACAGAGGCTACTGTAGCAGAGAGCCTGGATGGAAATTGTTTGCACTGAATTTGGCCCTATATTTTTGTCTGTTACAATACAAAAGTTGAATTATGACTTTGCCACTTCATGGTCATATGTAATGTGTTAATCAGGAACTGATAGGTAGCTTTCTTCTGGAACTTGTGCTTTTGTATGTGACTTCTGTTCATCTTTTGTTCCACGCATAGGATCATATTGTTTCAAGGAGGATAACAACTAATTACCATCTTTGATCATCAGTTTCAAACTGGTTCAGTAGATCAAACAAATTGGAAACCAAAAGCTCTTTAAAGTGGCGAAGTAAAGAAGGGGAGCATTGCTATGTGAATTCAAAACAGTTTTGATGTTTTTATATTTTCAAATCTTGTAGTAAAAATACTATCTGACTCTACTTTCTCTTGTGGATAGAGCAATTGGTATTCCATTTTGGTGCTTGATCTAAGTTAAAATGAGACCCGCAGCCTTGATTTTTCTTTAATAAAATATGTATTTAGAATGGATGCTTTGCCTGTAGGTTAACAGCTGGATCCAGACTTGAAACTGTGGAAAATGAAGACCTGCGTGAAAAAACAATCAAGCCTGAGAAGAAAACACGAAAGAAAACATACAATACATTGTATGTGTCTTCTAAGCCAACTCCTGAAACACAATGTCCTCAGCAATAAAACTCAGTTTTTCCAGAGCAAATCTGGAAACTTAGTCTTGCCTTAAAGATTCTGTTGTGCAGCAATGAATACGTAGTGTACCATTTAAAGTTCAGAATGACTAGAGTTGACTATGGACGTACTGTGAAGCTATATAATAAATACAGATATAAACTGAGTAGGACTGCATGTTTATCTAGTGAATAAAATATTGTGACACTGGACTGATGGAAGGGAAGATAGAGAGAGAACAGTAAATACCAATGTGGTTAAATATCCTAAAGGTTGTTTTATTTGTTTTAAATGGGCATCTTTCAAAGCTACATTTTCCCGAATGTGTAGCAATTTCTGATTTTCAGTGCTCCCTGTATACTTAAATCCCATATTTAACACCTTCTTTAAAAGTTATATGAAGGTTCTGTGCATTTGAAATGCTAGGAAGTATCTTGTAAATGTACCAGCAGTTAAAATAAATCTTGCTTTACTCCTTTCTAAGGTGCCGATAAACATTGCATTGTATGACAAAGTGCTTAGTTTTCTAAATGTAAAATTCTAAAAAAAAAAAATTCAGGAAATCTTTTTGTAATATTCTGTGTGTAAAAACTGTTACTGCTCTTAATGTAATTACTTTATTAATTTTGTTTGTAGAATACAAAACATGTAAGCTTTCTGTAACAATAAATGGCTTATTGCAACTTGCACACTGTACTTCGAATAAATATGCAGCTAATGTGCAGGTTAATTCTAATGGATGTTTGTTCCCAATTAAGACTTCTAAACTACTTAATTAAATTTGAAATATGATAATTGCTACAGTTGCTCTGGTTTCCCTTAGCGGCTAATTCAGCCCTTTCAAGTGCTTGCCAATAGACTTCGTAGCTAAGTTTTCTTCAAGTCTTAGTTGGAAAATTTATTCCAGTAGTTTTTACCCAGTGATAACCTGGTTGAGTAAGTCTTTATGCACTTGTGCCCTGATCTCTTCCCACCCCTCCACCCCCCAAGGCATTAATCCCCTAAAACTTCCATTGAAAACTGTGTGCACCAAACAGGAAATGTAAACACTCCCAAATGTGGGTGGCTGAAGATAGGCTCCTAAATGTATTCAGCACTTAAACCAAAGTGGATCCAAGTTTTTGTTAGTTGCAGTTAATCAACTCTTTAGAAAACTGAGGTGACTAAAATCAAAGTTAAACTTATTACAAAGCATGAGTCTTAGCTGGCAGTAGAACATGACCATTGTACAATCCTGTTGTACTTTCAGCAGTTCAATTAATTTTTTTCTTAGCTTGTGTTGTACTGATGCCCTTACACACAAGGCAAGTGATTTTAAAAACAAAAAACCCCCTCAGCCCTGGTAGAGCTGCCCCTGCCTGGACACTGACCAGGTTATTTGTATCCCTCCACACTGGGCCTTGTTGAGTTCTTAACCTTCCTTTGAACTGAGGAGGCTGCATCCCTGTCTTTTTCCTTGGTCTCCTGGTGCACTTCTTGGGCACAGACTGTTACCCTTTCACAGAAATGGGATCACATTGCCCAGCTGCCCAAGGACCAGTGCTGATTCCCTATTGGCTTCACTATATGTTCTCCCAGACTTCCAACATGGTGGGTGCTCTGGGTTTACAGTTCACCTCTTTGGTGATGTGTAATAGGTATAGCACATAAAACACAGGTTTGGCAATGATTTAAATACAATTACATTAGATTGAGACAAAAATAAAATCTTACATTCATTTCCCTGCCTCAGTTTCCTCATCCTTTGGGAGTTTTCTCTGGTGATAAGTCCAAGTCCTTTTCAGTGTCCAGGATCCTTCTGTGGCTCGTAACTTTTTTGAATCATGGAGTCTGTCTTCTACAGGTCAGCATGCTTTTCCCTTGGCTGGTTCCACAGTTAGGGAAGTGTTTTTATGTCAGAACTATATGCCCCTTTTGTTCCTCTCACCTGCCCTATGAATTTCTTGAGTTTATAAATCCTAACACAAATGTCTGGTTCCGATGTTCTGCCTCTGAGAGAAAATTCCAGGCCCCAAACCCTATCACCCTACAGAAAAGTTAGAGAAATTTTCTTCCCCAAGGCTACAACCTTCCTATTGTTCCCAGGTGGTCAAATTCAAATGGAATTTCTTCAGGTTCACTCCATTATCATACTTGAATTTCAGTCCAAAATGGAGGTAAAACAGCAGAAGGCGGCAAGCCCCACGTTTAGAATGGACTTCACTACCTTGCACAAACAGTCTAATATCAAACAGAATTCATAAGCTATATATAAATTCCTCAAACTATCATTATGGGCACTTGAACAGTGGCTCAGAGTAGCTTCTTAAAAATAAACTCTTACCATGGGTTAGATCTTCTTTCCATGGGAGATGAGGATGAAAACCTATGGAATAGGAGACCTGCCTTTCAGATATAGAACTGCAGAGTATATTGCACATAAGGACTGAGATGTATTGTCAAAGCTGTGCTGGTAAGTTTGCATTCACATCTCTTGTATGAACACTAAATCCACAGAATCATGAGTTTTCTTTTTAAATCTTAAATTGACTTAAAGTTTATAATTAACTTGAAGTGGCTCTAAGTACTTAGTCACTACAGCCCCTTCCCACCCTTGCATCCTACTTTAGTGCTGCTATTCTATTTTTAAATTCTTGAGCCACTGTCATTTGAGGACCCTTAAAACTTAGCAGGTAAGTGATAGCAAAGAAGCGGAGTGTATCTCTGTTTTTTGATAGCAGTAAATCAGGGACTTTAGCTCATATCAGCCTGCTTTTCTTGGTCTTGTACATGAAAACTGTGTCCATGATTTTCACCAAAGGAAATACTGACGACTTTTGGTTTTATTTGACTCTCAAAAGTTCATCCATGTAAAAGATTAGATGTTTTTTCCCAAGGCTTTTCTTTCTAAAAGAATCCAAAATTCAGTTCAGGAATGTTAAAATATTGTGTTAAATAAGCAAGTATAAAATCAAAAATAGATGTGCTAAAGAGCCAGCTTCCCTTTGCTTTCCTGTAGGGTGGCCGGGTACATGGGCCAAGATCCTTAGCCGGGACCCCAGCTGCAGGCTCTACCGAAGGCAGGCTCATTGTAATCTGCTGAGCCAAGAGGAACCAGTTGGGTTGCTGACTGGGAAGAAATATAAACCCAGGGAAGAGCTCAAGGGGTGAGGCTAGCCAGGCAGGAGGATAGGAGGGTTGTGGCTCTGTCTCTGCTGGCTGATACAAGCCTCAAAGGCCAGGGGACTCAGTGAAGGGTCAGAGCGGGGACCGGTGTTGGGGGAATTGGGACTGTACAGCCACTGTAAATAAAAGAACACGGGTGAAGCACCTGTAAGAGGCATCTGAGACCCTTTCTTTTGCTAGCCTAAGCACAGGGCCCAGGGACAAAGGGAAGGAAACTTGTGCCACCCTGCAACACTTGGGGGCTTGTCCGGTGTGCCCACAAGGGCTGGGGGGGAAGATACCAGCGAAAGGAGGACACTCAGGCCTAAGAATAGTAAGCTATGCTTTATTGAAGGAAGGAAGAACTTATGCTCCAATCTGCACGGGGAGCCCCTAGGACGCTTGGAGGACTCTGGCCATTTGGGACAGCTGACCAGGCAGGACTCCGCCGGGGGAGGGGAAGTCCTCTGCAGCGCTATATTCTCCACGCTTATCTTGGGGTTACATGGGATCAACAGCTGGCTACATTCTTATATGTACGATTTATGCTTATTACATAAACTGACTAGTTTACAGGCAAAAATATGCTGAGCTATGCTACAATGTCTTTTGGCAGGGTCTGTCGGACAAAGTTCATTGAAACTGCCTGCATCCTCCGCTTACATCCAGTCACATACTCAGTCCACCGCTTAGCTCCTCGCCAATCTTCCGCAACCTTACCCCTACACTCCCGCCCTTGGCGGACTGAGGTGTTTTAGTTACTGCCACCAGCGCACTTTGAGCGTGCGCACTGGTTTGGGCGTTTCCAGTCGGGCCAGGAGGGCAGAGGAGCAATTCACGCAGCATTGAAGAATGACAAACACACATACAAAGCCCAGTAATCCAATCAAGAGCAGGAGCCCAATGCGTCTCCCCCAGGTGCCAAGATCCGGAAGCCAGGAGGTTAGCCACTGCCAAGGGTCATCCCATACAGAAGCCTCAGAGCCCACGTCATGTAACACCTTCAAGTGGTCCATCCTATTATGAATGTCAGTCTTGATGCGCTTATCCTGATTTGAGTAAAAACAACAACTTTCATTAATCAAGGCACAAATTCCACCTTGAGCGGCTAATAAGTAGTCCAACGCCATACGATTCTGTAATTCAACTTGCGACAAAGAAACTACTTCTAATTGCAGGGCTTGGATTGCATCTATGATATTATTCTCTATAGTCTCTAATGTGGCTGAAATATTTACAATAGCCCGCTCCAGTTTGGCCACCCCTAGCCAGGGGAAGAAAGTGCGGACAAAGTGATGGAAGCCTGTGGGTCTCTGCACAATGGGATGTGGGCGCCGTCGTGGACATGCCGCCAATATGTAATTATGCACTGCATGAGCATGCATGGTTTGCATTCCATACGTATAGGGGAGGAGCTGTCCCAGTGTGCACCATCCACAGCATTGGGTGGGTAGGGTTTTATATGCCCAACGGCCACATAGCCAGTACAGCCCGGCAATCCTGCCATGGGGAGACGTGCTATCCGAGGCACTGCGACCCCAACTATCGGAGCTTTGGCCACACCGAGACCAGTAATGTGCACGCGGGATTTGCCTGTGCCTAATTGTGCTGAGGGGCGTTCTCCATCTGGGGGGCACTGGCATTGTAGGAATACAGAAAACCATGGGTATGTAGTCCCCACTCGCCCCAACACCACCACCGGTGGCAGGGGCTGGTGCCGTTGGTATTAGTCAAATTGGTTTCGGAGGAACCGGAGCAATTGTCACTCGAGAC